AGTAGTTCAATTCAATTCAATTCAATTTTATTTGTATAGCGCCAATTCATAACAGAAGTTATCTCAGGACACTTTTCAAATAACGCAGGTCTAGATGGTACTCCTTATTATTTATTATCCTTTTGTAACACAGGGAGTCACTTACCGGTGCACTGCTGCATATGCTAACTGTACTAAATGCTGCCACTAGCTGGTAAGTGGTCCTATTAGCGGACTCTACCTGCACTTGGAAGCCAAAGGACAGGATAGTTTAAACACTACTAGTGTAGAAGTGGGGGGCCCAGTGCCAAATACTGCCAAGGAGTGGGGCCAGAATGAGCGACAGAATGGGAGCGCAGTGGACCAACGGAGGCCAGTTAATTTACAGCAGCTCCGAACAAGACTATGACTCTGGGGTCATGAAACAAAGGAAGAGGAGATTGTAGCAAGTTGCTTTGTAATTAACAGTTAGCATTATACATCATTCATCACACTGATAATGACTTCTAGTTGACTTGGAAAACCTTTCCAGTCTGGGACAGCCCTAGTATTCACTGATGGAAGTCTTACTGGACACCCTCTCCACATTTAAGAGTAGGCTTAAGACGTTCCTCTTTAATAAAGATTATAGTTAGGGCTGGATCAGGTGAGTCCTGAACCGTCCTTTAGTTATGCTACTATAGGCCTAGACTGCGGGGAGACTTCCCATGATGCACTGACCTCCTCTCTTAATGCATGTTACTAACTTCACTTCTTCCCCGGAGTTTTTGTGCTTTCTCGTCTCGCAGGTTCTCATGGATCCTTGTTGTGCCTGCTGCTGTGGTCCTGCTTGACCCACACTGCCAATATTATTATTATTATTATTATTATTATTATTATTATTATTATTCATTCCCCCATCATCATCACCCCCTCTCTCTAACCTCAACTGGTGGAGGCCACCCACCTAGAGCCAGGGTCTGTCTGAGGTTTCTCAGGTGGGAACTGTTGGGTCTCTGTAAGTAATGTTATAAGGAGTTCGGTCTAGATCTGCTCTATCTGAAAAGTGTCCTAAGAGAACTTTGTTTTTCTTTTTCTTTAATAGTTTCTTTTCTTCTACCAGGTGACCAGACTTATCTGCAGTTTTGCACTTCATTATGAAATGCAGCAAAACCCACAATGCTCACCAATAATGACAGTCTCACCATGCTAACAGTCAGCATCTTTCTATTCTCATTCTTGTAATAAACAGAAATAAATAAAAACACAGTCTGAGGCACTGAAGAATGATTTTCAAAAATCCTGACTTGCAATAAAGCTAGAAATACTGTGTCAGCTCCTTCAATTGCTCCTGAATCTGTAATCATCCTGCACTGCCATATCCCAAGTCCATTAAAGCCATTTACCCTCTGGCCTCTCTCTGCAGGCAAAAGCAATAAATCTCTTGTTGAATATAATAATAATAATAATAATAATAATAATAATGATAAAAAAACACAATAAAAAAGGAGATTGTCAGCAGCTGCTAAAATGACAGATTAAATGTTAATATTTATAATACTCAATAATCTGCTGTCGCAGAGACACTGAACTGTGTGTGTTTATTTCTCCTGATGTGCACTGGCTTAGAACTGCAGTTCGTCTCTGGCTGCTGCACAGTTGCTGCCCACTGCTTCTAAAGCCTAGGTTGGGTTAAATACTAAATGGACTGCACTTATCTAGCACCTTTCTAGTCTTCTGACCACACAAAGTACTTTTACACTACATGTTATATTAACCCAATCACATACATACATTCATACAACGTCATGCCCCCGCCCCTTTTAGATGGAAACAGTCCCTTGAATTTGCCAATTTATTAGCATAAAATAAGAATACTGTATTGCTTTATAGGAGCCTAAACCCTATGGCCAGTTAGGCAAACAATTCAATTCAATTCAACTCAATTTAATTGTATAGCGCCAATCCATAACAGAAGTTATCTCAGGACACTTTCCAAATAGAGCAGGTGTAGACCGAACTCTTTAAAACATTATTTACAGAGACCCAACAGTACCACCATGAGCAAGCACTTGGCGAAAAGGGCAAGGAAAACTGCCTGTTAAAAGGCAGAAACCTAGGACAGATCCTTCGGCTCTAGGTGGGTGGTCGTCTGTCTCGACCAGTTGGGGTGAGAGAGAGACAGAGAGAGAGAGAGAGAGAGAGAGAGAGAGAGAGAGAGAGAGAGACAGACAGAGACAGACAGACAGACAGACAGACAGACAGACAGGTGCACAGCAACAACAGTATTGGTAATGGCAATCTAGCAGGACCATGGCAGGAGATTCCACCAGGATCGATAAGAACCTGCGAGACAAGAAAGCACAAGAACTCCGGGGAAGAAGTGAAGTTAGTAACATGCATTAATGGGACATGAATGAGTGCAGAAAGAGAGGAAGGGAGGAGCTCAATGCACCCTGGGAAGTCCCCTGATAGTCTAGGCCTATAGCAGCATAACTAAGGGATGGTTCAGGACTCACCTGATCCAGCCCTAACTATAAGCTTTATCAAAGAGGAATGTCTTAAGTCTACTCTTGAATGTGGAGAGGGTGTCTGCCTCCCGAACCACAACTGGAAGCTGGTTCCACAGAAGAGGAGCTTGGTAACTGAAGGCTCTGGCTCCTGTTCTACTTTTAGAGACTATAGGAACCACAAGTAGCCCAGCATTCAGAGAACGTAGTGTTCTAGAGGGGTAATAGGGTACTATGAGCTCTTTGTTGTTGTTATGTCACTGGTGATCAACGATCTTTGTCGTTATATAAAAAATAATAATAAAGAAATAGGAGTTGATGAGTGTCCTTTCAGTCCGCCTCCATCAAAGTGGAATAATCTAAGATACACAACTACCTAACTGAATCTCATATTACTGACATCTTTCCTCACTAAGAACAAATATTTCTGTTTTGGTCGTCTGTCTAATATGACGTTACTGTAAACTAATACTACTGTGTGACTATTACCAGACCTACCTATATACCTATATACCAGACGAGAGAAGTAGAAAACAGGTCCGTTTTAGCTCCACTTCCTACATTACTTTAGTAAAGTGGTAGGTGTTTATGAGGATCATTGTTCGAAGGTAGGTCAGCTCAATTTATGTCAAATAGTAAGGTTAAAATATCCTCTGCTCCCAGCGTTTTTTTTTCTTTTGAGTGGACAGACTGTCGAACAAAACTCATCATTAGCTTACCTGTGAAGTGTTTACCACAGATTTACAAATATTGACAATTACAAAAACTGCCATGTCCCACAGTTTACTATTTATCATCTCTGCGGATGGCCTGAAGCCACAGATCTCTTTTACTGTCCTTTGTGCTTTTGGGAAAGTAAAGAAAACTGGATACTGGGTTTCCTTTATTGTTTAATGAGTAAAATATGAAGCTTTTAGGAGTGACATATGCCTGCTCTCATCTATCGGGAACAATGTGGGGCTCAGTATCTTGCTCAAGGACACTTCAGCATGCAGCGGGAGGAGCCAAGCTTCTACCTCCTGAGCCACAGCCAATTAAAGGCACAGAAAAAAAAATCTCTACGGGGATCAATAAAGGCTAATACAAATGAAGACGAAATTATTAGCCCCCTATGAAAATTTCTTTTTTTTTTTAAGTATTTCCCAAGTGCTATTAAACAGAGCAAATAATTTTTAACATAGCTTTTTCAAACATCCTAGTTTTATTTTGGATGCTTACATTATTTTACTTTGCACACAGAAACAAAATTGTTTCACAAAAACCAAAAACTACCAGGGTAAAAATTATCAGCCCCCTTAAGAACTGACCTTTTTATTGAGCCATAGCACTGTTGTGCAATGCTGTGCTTTAACTTTGTAATGCTCAAAGCTTGTAAAATAAATTCAAAACTGAGGGTTATCTCCCAATTTACACACAGTATAAAAACTTCAGTAAGGGTTTGAGCTGTCACAACAGAAATCAGTATAGACCAGAGAAAAAGAATTGTTGATGCTCACAAAGCAGGAGAAGGATATACAAAGTTATCACAGCGTTTCCAAGTGTCAAGAACTGGAGTGAGAAGTATCATCAAGAAATTCAAAGAGAGCCACACAGTACAGAACAAGCCTGGCAGAGGTAGGAAGTGAAAGATTTCAAAGACCCTGGAAAGAAAACTAGTGAGAGATGTGTCTAAAGACCCCAGAACAACTGCCAAGACACTAATGAATGACTTAGCCAAGTAGGGAATTGTAGTCTCAAAGAAGACAATCACTAGAGCTCTGCACAGGAATGGACTGCAAGGTTGCAGACCAAGAAAAACTCCACTTCTGCAGAAGAGACACCTTCAAGCCAGACTGAAGTATGCTAAAGACAACCTGGAGAAAGATTATGCATACTGGAAGCATGTCCAGAAGACCGAAGTGAACGTTATTGACTGGCCTGCACAAAGCCCTGACTTGAACCTAATTGAAAATCTGTGGGGTGAACTGAAGACCAAGGTCCATGCCAAAAGGCCATCAAATCTGGAGGAGCTTGAGAGATATGCCAAAGAAGAATGGGCTGGGATTCCTCAGGATAATGTGTCAGAGACTTGTTGAAAACTACAACAAACGACTGCAGGCTGTTATCCAGCAAAAAGGTTACACAATTGACTATTAGCATCAGGGGGGCTAATAATTTTGACCCTGGTAGTTTTTGGTTTTTGTGAAATAATTTCGTTTCTGTGTGCTAGCTATGTTAAAAATGCTTTGCTCTGTTTAATAGCACTTGGTAAATATTTTAAAAAAAATGAAATTTTCAAAGGGGGGCTAATAATTTCGTCCTCATGTGTATTACTTTTTAAGGAGGCACATCCACAAAATAGAGCAGGATAAAGAACATTATCACACAAGAAATAAACAAATTCCACTTAACCACATTATGTACAATACTTGGTTGATCTACTTATTTTCCTGAAGCTGTTACATCGCTAGACTTCATAGATCAAGTTGGTAAGTAAAATCCTGCCATAACTGACACTTATGATGATTATAAATTCAATACAGAGTTCCATACCATCTTTAGTGTAGAGAGAAATCTCCACCTTCCTCTCCTCTGCTCCCAGCAGAGCTTTAGCCATCTGGGCCACTGCTGGTCTCTTGGTGTGTGGTCCATACAGGAAGCTACAGGTACAGGGCTTCTGCATGATCTCCGCACGGGTGTAACCACACATCCCACAGAAGGCATCATTACAGAAGATGATAGCGCAATTCTCCACCTGTGCGTTGGCAATGATAAACTTTCGATCTTTGGAGGAAGAGAAAAGAAATGAGAAGAGGGATTAGGAAGAAAAAAAACTTAAATAAACAATTAATGTAACAATTTCCCAAGGTGTTGAATGAAATCCCCAAATGTCCTCAAAGTTTAAACTCACAGCACACACACACACACACACACACACACACACACTGACTGAAACTTAAAAATGACATTGTTGGACCTTAAAAAATGGCACCCCCAAATAGTCTCAGAATATAAAACGGCTACACAGACACAGCGCCTGAGCATTGCCAGTTCCACATTCTAAATCCTTCTTAGGCACACAAGGAGAAGTTTTCATGGCTAGTTGGTAACACCATTGAATATCTCTAATTTTTTCTCTCTCTCTTTCTTTTTTCAACTTGTATTTTTGAATACCCTTTTCTGCAAGAAAAATCGAATGAACAAGAGATACTGACCAATATAATCCACTTATATATTGTTTTTAAATCTAAAACAAAAAGGAGAGTTTATGTCGTTTTGAAATCCCCCCTGCTGTCATTCCAGTAGTGAAATTATACAGTTAACACTGTACTTACTCTGTCCCTCGAATTTGCGGATGATGGTATCCAGGAAAGTGTTTTGGGGCGCCACATGGCCCCGTCTCACCGGCATGGTTCGGACCCAGTGCTGGAGCCTCCTTCGGCTGTGATTGGCAGAAACCCGAACTGTCCAGATCTGTCTGACGCTGCTCGATCACACACTTTGTCTTTCTGGGTTCGAAGCCTCTGGTCACAGTCCGCCACGTCCTCCCTTACCCTCTTTCTCATTCTCTCCTCCTCCCGTGCTCTCTCCATCCTGGTCGGCCGTTAATCTGAATCCTCGACTCCGATTGGTCCGGGCAACAGGTAGGTTATATACATGATTTATATATAAAACTGTTAGCAGCAGCCATTAAAGCTACTACTATTGCTGCTTCTGATACTGCAATTACCACCATATCATAATGTAATCCTGTATAATATGATAACATAAAATCAGTTGCCATGTGGTTGAAAATTCGGTGAAAGGCAGTGGGTAGAAAAATTTAAATTGCAGCAGGAATTTCTTTTATCCCGGTGGTGTCATTTATATAGCAGAATGTGTACTATAGTTGCTGGGTTTTACGTAATCAATTAAATTTTTTGTATAGCACATTTCATACAGGTTTGTGCTGTTCAAAGTGCTTCACAGCTGACCGACAAGCCGATAAAACCATGTGGAGAATAATAGAGAGAAATAAAAACTAAATAAAATATTATTAAAAAACATGACAAAAATGACAAAATAGATTTAACAGAATAAATAGTGTTGAATAAAAGCTATATTAGAATCTAAATCAGAGGGATTAAGAAGAAAATTTTACAATGAAATACAATAAAAATAAGTGAATAAAATAAAGAAAATATTGTCTAAAAATATTTTTTTAATTAAAAGTCAGCCTGAAGAGGTTGATTTTGAGTTTTAGTAATAGATAACCAGGAAGTCCCTTGATATGAAAACTCTTTTCCTGTGGGAGACCTGGCCATAACAGCACACCCCTTAAGCAGTAAATAAAATGGGCACCAGCATGCAGAAAGTCGTGATGCAGTGACACTTTACCATGTTTTGTCCAGTGGAAGATCACCGCAGCTCCTGACCTGGCCTATGCTGTCTAAGAAGACAAGGAAACACTCTCCAAAATCTTGACGCCTGAGGGTAGAGCCCTTTCCTGAGCCTCTTAGTGCTGCTCACCTGTGCACACAGCTGCTCCTGATCACCACCCAGCCCGGCTCTTATACTGCCCCTCACCATTCACTCGTAGCCAGATAGTTCTTTGTACTCATGCAAGACCTTCAAGCGTTGTTCGGACAGAGCTCCCGGTTTTCTTACCTGCCTGCTTCTGACCATCCTGCCTCATCTCTGCCCCGGATATCGCCTCAGCCTTCTTTCCCCGACCACAAGCTTGGGTTCTCCGTTCCTGGTTTCTGTCTGCCTCTCTCCTGGGCTGTTTGGTGTTTCCCAACAACGACTACACAGCGTGAGTTCGACCATCTCCTCTCCTCTGAGTTTGCGTGGTTCAGAGACATTGCCACACACACCATCATGTGTGCACACTCACCTGATGACTCTTCGACTCCTCGCCTGGCTACGACTCTCCCTTGCCTGGCTACGACTCTGCGGTGCTGTTTTCTGTACCAGGCATTGATGTTCCCTTTCCCCATTGATCTTAAGAGGGGGGTAGTTCCTCCCCTGCAGGCCACTATCCGCTCCTTGCTGACATTGTCCTGACACCAGCAGGTGCTTCCTTCAGATAGATCTTTTCATTGTTATCAGTGATCAGGCCCACCACAAAATCAGGTTAATAGTAGTTTTTTAGACCTTCTTGGGTCTTCTCCGTCATGAGAACTTTTGTTACATACAAAAGTGAATGTTAAAATAACAGTTTGACTATGGGTTGGAAACACAGGCCAGAAATTACAATACCAAAGCCTTAAGTGTGAGTGGCTGTTGAACCTCTAGATACACACTTTGCTGCCTTTTTTGAAAACTTTATTTATAGATTTTATACAAAATTGTGCACAAAAACATTGCATCAACAGTACCATTTCAGAATGCAGAGAGGAAAAAACATATATTTTCAGAGTATTACAAATCTTAATCTGCTCATAATTTAAAAAATATATTATTTTTTATTATTTTTTAAATTTATAATAAAACATCCATACAAATGATGCGTCCAGGCTTGTACAGTCCCAACAGTACTAAATCTAGACACTCATGCTATAAGGGAGCACAGATTTGGTCTGAGTTAAAAATGGCTGTCAGTTGAGCCACTGAGAGTATACTACATTTTATATAGGTGGAGAAACTGTATATTATCTCTAATCCACTGGATATGTGATATGGGTGATTTTTGCTTCCATTTCAACAGAATAGACTTTTTTTTCACAGCCCTCATCTTGGCATGAAATAGTATAATAATAATAATAATAATAATAATAATAATAAACACAGGTGATACTATGATACTATTAAGTTTCCATTCCATTCAGGTCAAACAGAGTCGGGGTGCTACAATAGATGAGAACAGCCATTTGTCACTTTCTTGTCTTCAGAATGAAACGACCATTCCTAAAAGTTTCGGCGCCGCATTATGCACATTGAACAATAAGAAAAAACTGTTTACAATTTTCTTTACTTCCCCAAAGAGCGAAGGACAGTTAAAGAAATGTGGGGATTCAGGCCATCCATAGAAGATAAAAATGGTGTGGAGCAGAGGGTATTTTAACCTTAATAATTCACAAACTGAGCTGACCTACCTTCTAATAATGAACCTTGTGAACAGCATAAACTAACTAAAAGCATAAACGACTGTTTTCTTCTTTTGTTGGCTCGTAGGTAAAAACAGGCCAAGAAAAGGTCATTTACATGTTTGGATAAAGGTATGGTATGGACACACCCAAAATTGCTGGTAGAGGGGAGGGTTCAAATCGTATTCCAAATACCTCAGTAAAAATCTCAAAGACGGAGGTCCAATAAAGGGACCGTCCAGAAAGTATGAATAAGAGGGCCTATGTGTGATTTACATCTGTTACAATTCAATCAGGATACATCTTAGAAAGCCTTTCAAGGCGATGTACCACTTTAAACTGTGAGGACTCTATCTATCTAGAACAGACTTCCAAACATCCTCTTAGAGTTCAACTTCTAAATAATTTTCCCAATGAAACTTACATATATCAAGTGAAGGGCAGATAATGGCTAAAGGATGGCAAATATTCTCGAGATAGCCCCTTTACTCTGAGGATTAATTTCACACTTCATTGTCAGTAACAGTATACTGTAACAAAAGTTTTGGTGTCCTGGATTTTGGTCTCAGAGTAATCCATTAGTATTTGTCTATTTAGGCCAGTGGTTTTCAACAGTGCATTGTCGAGAAATAGAAATGTTAACCACATCACATTTTTAGAAGTTGTAATAACAAGGAAAGAAATACAGTTGGCCTTTTTGATTGATTTTCATTTATAGTAATCTTAGTTTGATCACTGATTGACTACAAAGTCTAAACACCCTTGATTTGTAATCTTTCAAACCTAAAAAATAAATACAAATCCTAGGACCCTCAAGACAAAACTCTCTCAAATTGGGGGTCTGTTGTCTAATGTCAATCTATTGCAGGGGTACTTCACATGAATCACTTACACCTTAAATGATTTTCATGCACTTTGAACATTCTCCCAAAACACACAACACACAAAAAGGTAGAATTAAAAGTTCAAACGTAGATTTTTTTTTTAAAGCACATAACCTGAATCTTAATACAAAACAATTTTCTTCTCATTCATTTGATGGTTTAAATTTTACTTCAAGGATGCTGTCAGACCAACACTGGCACAGTGTCAAAGGTTAGTTTAGAATTCATAAGAAATAATCCTCCTGTGAAGTAGACATCCATTCTGAAGTTGAGCCTTGCAACAAAAAAACTTACAAGTGCTGACATGACACCAGTATATGGGGTCTCAAAACCCAAACCCAAAACTGTCTTCCTTCTGTAGTCTCATATTTGTTCAGCGTCCTGGACAGACATCACCTGAAATCCAAGAAATGTCCAGGTCTTCTGATAAGAACAGACCAGACTGACTGCTGATGCAGTGAATAGGACAGGATATCAACGCGCCTGACTGGATTTTCCCAGAATTCTGTGCAACTCTGGGGACATCAGGAAAGGTTTTTCCGAACTACCATCATTCCTTTCCAAGTCATCACCTAGTAGGACGGAAGAATGGATGGATGGATGAAGGGGAAGCATGGGAGAGAAAGCAGGTATGGACGGATGATGGATAGATGGATTATAGTAAATGGATGGAGTGATTAATGATAATATGAAATATTGGATGAATGGGGTCAAGGATGCAGTCAAGTTTGAGAACAAAGGACAAATTGAGATATGGATGGGAAGAAGAACAGCAGGAAAACGGGGATTTTAAATGAAGGAGAGACAAAAAGAGCTTAATTAGATAGAGGTTAACAGCCACATGCAAAGGAGACGAACATTAAAGGTTAAAGACTACAGCATTCAGTAAAATTTGAGATGTGCAGAAACCCAGCCTTGACCTTGTTGAAACATCCAACCAAATAATAAGACCATAAGAAGAAAATATATTTAGAAAATCAAATTAAAAATGAAAAAGGTCCAGTGTGTAGGATTTAGTGGCATCAAGTAGTGCTTGTAGATCACAACTCCCTCACTTCACCCTCCTTTTCCATGAGTGTAGGAAAAACTATGGTGGCTGTGAAAAGTGCGAAAAACACAAACAGCCACTGTCTAGTGCCAGTGCTTAGTTTGTCCATTCTGGGCTACTGTAGAAACATGGTGGTGGAAGTTAACCCGTCTAAGGTAACAAAAAGACAATGATTCTTATTTTCAGGTGATTATACACTAATTAAAACATACATGATTTATATTCCATTTCTGCCAATACCCCTAAATGTTACACACTGGACCTTTAATACATACTATTGGATGGATTCATTTATCCAGAGCTCTAACAGTATCTTGAGTTGACCAATTTAAATCCATTGCTATTTTCAGAATAAATTAATTTAAGCTAATTAGAAATGCACATCAGTGATAGTATATATGTTTTCATGAAAAACTATTTCACATTTTGAAATTGTATTTTTTTGCCACCTTTTTTTTTAACACAGGGCCACGGAGTAAGGATATGAATGGATAGAGGGGCGTGTCAGTGATCCAGGGATTAATTATTTTATTATGTTAACAATCACTGAATTACTTGTGATACTGAAGAATAATTTATACTAGATGGAGACACCTCAGTCACTGTAAGTGGTGCTGATTCTAGCAGCAAGTATTTGTTCTGATCATGAAAGTCATGGCTGTGAGATGCTGTGCATATTCTAAAAAGGCTGGAAGTTCTCCACAGATTACTTGCTCCCAATGCTGTATGTTAATTGACATTTTTACTTAAGTAAACACTAATCAAGACCTTTTCCTTTTTCATTGATGGCCCAGTTTAAACCAGTCTGTTTTCATTACAATCACTGTACTTACAGAAGCAGAGGAAGAGTGTGTCAACACATGTGGCATAGACGCTGAAGAAACCATGAGCAATCAGGTAAGAACCTATCACCACCGTCTGATATGGGACACACAGAGGTTAGATTAACTCCAGCAGTACTGCAGATCTGATCACAGACAACAAGAAACCTAAGACATAGCCATTTTGAGTGTTATTGGTTATGTAGTTTGGGTTAACAAACTTTGCTGTACTGTATACATTTTATATATGTATAATTTGTATTTTCATGTCCAGTGCATTGCTTCTTGGTTATTTAACCTAAATGCGCTATGATTCGAACAGTGTTAGCTAATATGGGTTCGAGTCGAACACTTCCAGCTTGGCGCACTTTCCGGTCTTTTCGTGGGCGACGATCGCCACTTAATGTAAGTCCAAGTAATTTCTACATTTTGCAGAATCTAGATGTGGATTTTCATACACATACATCAACATTTACATGTATGATTATTATATGAAAGTTACTTTAAGAGGGAAAGCCGCAAGATTAGCTTAGATTGCGACGATACAGCCCACTTTTAAAGTCTGTCTCTATTTTCACTGAACAGCTTAAAATAAGCACTCATGTGGGTACATATTGTAGCTAGGTTTACACTGATTTGTCTAGCTAATGAAAATGTATTGTATGATACAATCTGTGGTCGAGGTGGGCGGAGGCAAAAAAAATTGATGTCTGGGAAAAAAGTTACAGACGCTGTCTAAAGATATAGATATTGTTACTCTAGATGGCATTACCTAGGCCTCTAGCACCACTGTCAGGAATCTTGGAGTTATCTTTGATCAGGATTTGTCTTTTAACTCCCACATGAAGCAGACCTCTAGGACTGCCTTCTTTCATTTACGTAATATTACAAAAATTAGACACATAATATCACAGACAGATGCAGAAAAACTAATCCATGCATTTGTTACTTCAAGGCTGGATTACTGCAACTCTTTATTATCAGTTTGCCCCAATAAGTCCATTAAAACGCTCCAATTAATTCAGAACGCTGCAGCACGAGTACTGACAGGAACTAGAAAAAGAGATCACATCTCTCCTGTACTAGCTTCTCTGCACTGGCTCCCTGTAAAATGTAGAATAGAATTTAAAATCCTCCTCCTTACCTATAAAGCTCTTCATGGTCAGGCCCCTTCATATCTTAAAGAGCTCATAGTACCCTATTACCCCTCTAGAACACTACGTTCTCTGAATGCTGGGCTACTTGTGGTTCCTATAGTCTCTAAAGGTAGAACAGGAGCCAGAGCCTTCAGTTACCAAGCTCCTCTCCTGTGGAACCAGCTTCCAGTTGTGGTTCAGGAGGCAGACACCCTCACCACATTTAAGAGTAGGCTTAAGACATTCCTCTTTGATAAAGCTTATATTGAGGGCTGGATCAGGTGAGTCCTGAACCATCCCTTAGTTATGCTGCTATAGGCCTAGACTATCAGGGGATTTCCCATGGTGCACTGAGCTCCTCTCTTCCTCTCTCTTTCTGCACTCATTCATGTTCCATTAATGCATGTTACTAACTTCACTTCTTCCCCGGAGTTCTTGTGCTTTCTCGTCTTGCAGGTTCTTATCGATCCTGGTGGAGCCTCCTGCCATGGTCCTGCTAGATTGCCATTGCCAATACTGTTGTTGCTGTGCACCTCTCTCTCTCTCTCTCTCTCTCTCTCACCCACCCCAACTGGTCGAGGCAGACGACCACCCACCTAGAGCCGAAGGATCTGTCCTAGGTTTCTGCCTTTTAACAGGCAGTTTTTCCTTGCCCTTGTCGCCTAGTGCTTGCTCATGGTGGTACTGTTGGGTCTCTGTAAATAATGTTTTAAAGAGTTCGGTCTAGACCTACTCTATTTGAAAAGTGTCCTGAGATAACTTCTGTTATGAATTGGCGCTATACAAATAAAATTGAATTGAAAATTGAACTGAAAGGCGAACAAAGGCACAGAGCAAATGCAGCGTTATTTTTTTTAAATCTGTGAACTATCATGGTACACATGAAGATTTAATGCGAAAATATGTTCGAATTAGCTATTCAGAAGTAGTTTATAAACTAATCTAAATCAAGTATATTTTTTATCATGATGTAATAATTGATATATTATGGGTGTGTATGTGAGTGAGAGAGAGGGAAGGAGGGAGGGGTGTGAGAGATGAGTTAGTGCTAGTAGAATGCTAGTAGAGGCTCTTATGATGGCAAATATTGGTTATATGGACTACAGGCCAAAAGTTTGGAAGCAAGGCCAATACAGGCCAAACATTTGGAAGCAACTTCAAGTTTCTGTTCACAATGCCTTTCTTAAAAAAATATTATTATTATTATTATTATTATAAATTATTTGGATTTTGGGATGTGTTTACTGCATGATCAGACTTTGCTTTCATTGATATGCACCATTTCCTCAATTTACGTTTAGGTATACATTGATGTTACCAGACCATTGCTGAATAAACGTTACCAAAAAAAAAAGAAGGGCTTAGTTTTAGGGTTGAGAAGATTTGCAAGAGTCACAACTTCAGTGCAAAAGTAAAAAACAAATCACAGTTTGCATTATTCACTTTAGCTCTTTGGCTTTTGAGAGTTTGCATACAAAAATCCCAATAAATCTCAACTGTGTTCATATCTCTGACAAACTAATACAGAAATGGCTAACAAGAAACAGCTGAGTAAAGAAACAAGAGTACAGATTTGTACATTGAGGAAAGAAGGATTCACTGAAAGAGAAATTGCAAAACGGCTAATTGTGTCCAACAAAGGAGTTCACTACACCCTGAAGAGACTAGAAGAAACTGGAAGTTATGATGATAGAAAAAGGTCTGGAAGAAAGAGGGTTACTACAAAAGCTAGAGGATAAACATATAATTGTCACAAGTAAGAGAAATTGTCGAAAAACAGCACCACAAATAAGGGAGGAAATCAACATGACAAGGTCAAAACTCATATCTCTGACAACTGTGAAAAGACGTTTAAGAAAGGATGGTCTGAAGGGTTGTATATCTGCAAAACAACCACTACTTCGTCCAAACAACTAGAAAAAGAGATACAGTATGAGTGGGCAAAAGCACACAAAAATTGGATCTATGATGACTAATAAGTTCTCTGGACCGACGAAAGCAAACTATTTGGTTGAAATCGCAGAGTCTATGTCCGCAGACAAACTGGTGAACGTCTTACACCGACAATAAAGCATGGAGATGGTAGTGCCCGGATGTTTTATGGGTGATAGAGTCGGAGATTTGTTTGAAGTAAAGGGTATCATGAAGAAGGAACAGTACCACACCATCCTCCAGCATCATGCAGTTCCATCTGGACTAAGACTTGTGGGTCGAAGTTTGCTTTGCAGCAAAATAATGACTCTAAGCATTCTTCCAAGCTCTGTCAGGGTTACCTAGACAAAAAAGAAGAGGAAAGTGTTCTTCGAAAGATGGTTTGGCCCCCTCAGTTTCCAGAACTCTCTCCAATTGAGCTTGTGTGGGAAGAATTGGATGGATCAGTCACAAAAGTGCATCCCACGAATCAGCAGTCTCTCATTGATGAACTTAAGAAAGCTTGGAATGCAATTCCTGGCACATACCTTAAAAAACGTGTGGAACGAATGCCTCGTATTTGCCATGCTGTTGTTAAAGCCAGAGGTTACTTTGAAGAAAGCAAAGTCTAAGCAAGAAAAACCCAAATACCTGATAATTATAGTAAAAATGTATTCTGATAAGTGACTCTTTATATAATTATCATGTTTATTTTGTTGTATACAAATTAAACTATGATCTTTTTTTGTACAAGTTTGATCTTGCTTCCAAACTTTTGGCCTGTAGTGTAGATACACCTCCAATATAATTGGTTAGGTTATGTATAAAAATAGTGTTGTTGAAACTCAATTTTGCTCTTATTTTTCTGTCTGAGAACAGAGAAGGAAAGACTAGAAAGAAAAGAAAGAAGAGGGGGGGGGGGGAGGAGAGATGAGACAAGACGAGAGAGACTAAAGAGAGGCAGATACAATCAGCGCCACCCAGATGCCTCGAAGACCGTGCTTGGCTAGACGTGGTGGTTAAACTTCCGCAGGAGGCATCAACATCGCCTCACTGTCCCAGACATCATTGACCGTGGGAGGGCATCCTGTGCCAAGAGGGGGCCGATAGAACACTAATATGATCTGCTGACTGCCACCCTGGAGGAGCACGGGTTGAGGGAGAAACCCCGTCAAATTTACAACTGCGACGAGACAGGGTTTCAGCTGGACTCGGCTAAAAGAAAAGTCATCGTGCCACCATGTTACCCACCCATCTCAACATCCCCTGTCCCATGACTCCCCACATGCCATAACTTATCCACCCCCTGTCCCAAGTCCCTACCTAACCCATCCTCTGGTAACATCAGGCAGGATTATAGCAGACCTGGCCCACCTCCTGGCCGAGGTCAACTACGCCCGCAACACCAGCAAGGTCAGGAGGAACACCACCAAGGCCAGGTTACTGACGGCTCAAGAGATGTCAAGAGACTCCATCGAGAAGGTGGAGGACCGTGCTGCAAGGCGGGAGGCCCAAGCTCTGGCCAGAAGAGACAGAGAGCAGCCACTTCCTCTCCCTCCCAATGTAAATGCTTTATATAATCTGTAAAAACAAGCAATGTCCTAAGATGCTGGTGACATTAGGGATGATGATGAGTAAACAACACATCTCTAAACTTTATCCTGTATCTATACAGCCCGCAGACAGACAGCTGCGCCATTGTCCAGCTCCTCCTCCTCATCTGCTGGACCCACGACATCCACCGGTATTGTACTTAACATTAACAGTCTTTGTGTGCCATCCCATGATAATCAAAACATGTTCTTAGTTGTGCTGTCAGTTTAACGTGTTATTAACGGCGTTAACGCAAACCCATTTTAACGGCGTAAATTTTTTATCGCGAGATTAACGCCTAGCACACTTTGTAATTTTTTTCACATGCTGTTGCAACAATTAGTAACGACAGAAAAACTACAACACCACACCGGATCTAGCTAGACCGGAAACAAAACAACACACACTTGTTTAAGAGTAGTAGACGTTACGCTTTGAGTGGATGGCGAGCGCGAGACGCTGAAATGGATCGATTCGTTGTTGTCTGAAAATGTCAACAGGCTTGTCTGTTTGAGTAACTGGCTTACAGCAAAGAAGTAGTAGGCTTACCTTTTATTGGTAACCATTACTGTTCATTCTTTCTGAAATAAGAGGCTGGGTTGAGCCTCTGGTGAATAAAGAGCAGTAGCCTGACTGCTATGTTCAAAGCGAACTTGAGAAAAGTATTAAGCCATGGTTTAACTGCACTATAGGCTGAGTCCTAGTTTACCTTACATGTGCACTTTGTAATTTTATTTTGTATCGCACAGTTTTGATCCCTTAGAAAGGGCTGTTGAAGGGGCTGTTTGTGTGACAAAGTATTTTTTTCACCCTTTTATTGATGGACAGTGTTACATTGTGTGAGAGATTATTTGCTCCAAGTGAGAATGTTAGTGTGAAATTGAACACTACAGTATATGCCAATGTTGTTTTCAATAAAGACAACATTTGCACAAAGCAAGCCGATCCACTTTTCCATGTTAAGAGCATTAAAATGAGAAAAAATAATGGGACAAAAAGAAATCAAGGAACATTTAGAATAGATAAAAATGTGCGATTAATTGCGATTAATTGCAAGTTAACTATGACATTAATGCGATTAATCCCAATTAAATATTTTAATTGTTTGACAGCACTAGTTCTTAGATATATTTTTTCTATGAGTAGGTCACACTACTGGAAGGAGAAAAGAAGAGCCCGTAGTTTGGCAGCGTGGCCGGTGCAGGAAACCTGACCCTCCGGCTGTCAGTACTTTAACACCTTTAAATCAACTGAAGCCATAGCATGATCATTGATATTAGTAGTTAAAGGGATTTGCTAATTGAATGTTAGCAAGAAAAGTGTTCAAATCACAGCGCATTCACGTTATATATTCCTGTGGATCACTGGCCAGGAAGGACACAAGTTGTACCTAGTAATCAAGTTTTAGATCCATGTTTGTACGATCGGATCCTGAAGGTGCTGTAATTGAACAATCTGGACAATTGACCCTTCCTACGTAGCCATTTCACTCTGTGCTCCAATAACACTTGAGCAAGCCTCAGTGAGAACTTCCTCCTTTCCTGTACTTATATGCTATGTGCCAAGCTTTCGATGTTGAAAAGACAACTACATTTTAAAGATGGTTTAAAGATAAAAGCAACATATAGTTAATGTTAGTAAAACGCTAGCTAACTAACGATTGATATAGGCTAAATTAGCTTGGTAGTTAGCTAGCGTTTTGCAAGTTATCAACTAGCTGTAGATGTAGTGATGTAGATCCAAAGAATGTATTTCGATTTTGTATTTATATATATATGTGATTATGATATGTGAAATTGTATAGCTCACCCTGAAATTCTTACCCTAACCACTCACTCTCCTCATGCATAAACCTAACCAACCAAACCAATGAAGACGAGTACAAGCCAATCAAGGCCAGAGTAGGGCAGGTTATGACTTTGCCATCTTGAGAAAAAAAAGTGGCGTACAGGAAAGGAGAAAGTTGACAGAGGATCTGTACAGAGCAGGAAAGTGAGGGCATGTGTGTTTGTGACTCTAACCAATAGGGGGACCCAGTAGTAGTTGAGGTTAGGCACTTCCTCCTGGATAACAGGGATTTTCCTAGTGAAGAAGAAGAATGCAATCACACCTGAAACACAAACGCAGACACACTCAGTGACACACTGTCTTGCAGTCTGTGTTTGCTTGTTGGGGGTAAGACACAAGCATTGGAAGTGGTAATAAAGATGAGAGTGGCTTGACCAATGTAAGAAATGGCAAGACTTTCATTGTCCCTTACCAACTCCTCCTGCTATCAGGACTTTGCCCAGAAACAACAGAAAGTCTGTCACTCTGTCCAGAACTGCAACCCTGTAGGCAGAGTCAGAGAATTCAGCCTTACCTCTCCCATAAAGACTCAAATGATCTGAAACATGTATCCACACGCTAACAAAAAAGGCCCAGGGAGAATTAGTGGACGATCTGAAATCTCCTTACCTGACCACATTCCTCATCAGAAGGAAGAAGGCTTCTCTGGCTGAGGTACACAAATTCTTACCATAGATCGCCACCTGGTGGAGAAGTGACAAGAACAGCTATCACAACAGCACTTGGTTATTGACATCTAGTATTCATACTGCTCATGCTAAAAAACTCCACTTTAACCTACTCACCATGACATAAGCATTATGGTTCATGTAGCGTATTAATTTCTCCAAACACCAGAAGCAGCATTTCAGACAGTGCATTATGAACCTGGACAGGCTGTTGTCAATACCTACATGGATAAACATGTACAAGATCAGTATAGGGTTAATAGCAAATACAGCAGCAGGCAGACAGGATCAGATCAAAGATTTAGACAGAAATACAGTACAGACTAACAAGTCCACAACATGCAAACAGAGGTATGCGGAAAATGGTGACTGAAATGGAATCCAGTTAACAACATACAGACAGATAACTAAGGCTAGAATGCGAAGGCATGAAGCATGAAAGCTAAACTTTACAATTTGGCAAGGAGTGGGAACAGGTGTGTGGATAATCAGCTGATGGAGAAAGGAGGTAAAGGACCAAGACATCTGGTGGACAGCTGAAAGATGGCAGGTCTGGGGAGTTGGAGGATAGTTCATGGCCTGGGAGAAGTCAGCATGGCTGGTGAAAGGGACAGAGGAGCAGATGTAACAGGACAGTGTGGTGTGTGTGTGTGTGTGTGTGTGTGTGTGTGTAAACCTTTTAGTTTCTGCTCCAGGTATTCCAATATGATCCGGATCAGTTGGACAACTGAAAGAATTAGAGCTCCAAATGCCAAAGATCCTGTGTGATACCTGAATAAGGGCAGAGGAAGAGCTCAATATATTGTTATAGTGTTCATGCAGAAAGTGAAGCAAATTTTTTGTGTGATCAGATTTCATACAAAGTCAATGCAAAGACACCAAATGGGCAACGCAATATGTGAAATTCTTATTCTTTAGAGTTGAAAATATTACTTTCTGAGCAAATAATTTGTGTGTATTGCTGGGCTTGCATTGGGAGGACTGGAGAGAGAGCTGCTGCTCCAACTATTTAAAGATAAAGTAAAATCAAGAGTAGTTAAACATAAAAACCTAATAAAAATTAAAACAAATTCTACATTAGCACAAAATAACAGAATGAAATGTGGACTGTTAAATATCAGGTCTGTCCTCTAAAGCAGTTCTAGTGAATTAATTAATATCAGATTATGACATTGATTTACTTTGTTTTACTGAGACCTGGCTGTCCCACGAGGAGTATGTTAGCCTAAATGAATCCCCCCGTCATATTAATACTCACCTTCGAGGCACCGGCTGAGGAAGTGAAGTGGCAGCCATATATAATTCAAGCCTTTTAATTAATCCCAAACCTAAATTTAATTATAATTCATTTGAAAGCCTTGTTCTTAGTCTTTCTCACCCGACCTGGAAAACACTGCAGCCAGTTCTATTTGTTATAGTGTACCGCACTCCTGGCCCGTAGTCAGATTTTATATCTGAATTCTCAGAGTTTTTATCAAGTTTAGTCCTAAAACCAGATAAAGTAATTATTGGAGGTGATTTTAATATCCATGTGGATGTTGACAATGACAGCCTTAGTATTGCATTTATCTCATTAATAATCTCAAATGGCTTTTCAGAGTCAGAGTGTAAATAAACCCACTCCTTGTTTTAATCACACTCTTGACCTTGTTCTATCATATGGCATTGATATTTAACATTTAATAGTCTTCCCAAATCATCTTTTTTTATCTGACCATTATTTAATAACTTTAGAAATCCTATTACTAGATTATAAGCCATTAGGCAAAACTTTTACAGCAGATGTCTATCTGACAGTGCTGTAGCTAGATTTAATGAGGAGATTTCCATTTGTATTTACTTCAATAATAATATAAGGACTACTATAATAACCTTAGTCCCTCCCAAATTGATCTTTTTGTCAATAGTGCTGTGGGCTCACTGCGAACAACACTAGACTCCGTTGCCCCTATACAAAAGAAAATATTAAAACATAGGAGGCTAGCACTGTGGTATAATCAGCAAACTGGTAGCATCACGCTCAATCTGACAAGATAGTCTTAAAATATATAGAAAGGCCCTGCGTAATACCAGAGCAGCCTATTATTCACCATTAATAGGAGAAAATAAGAACAACCCTAGGTTTCTTTTCAGCACTGTAGCCAGGCTGACAGTGCAGAGTCACAGCTAGCTGAGCTATGTATTCCTATAGCTCTCAGTAGCAACAATTTCATTAGTTTCTTTAATGATAAAATCATTACTATTAAAAGTAAAACCAGATATAAACTGCATTTCTCAAATCAATCTTCATCAATTAACTCCAATAATTTCTTCTTAAAAGACCCCTTCCCAACTAGGCTGCTTAAAGTCTTACCCTTAGTTGGCACTTTTTTATTAGATATCAATCTTTATTTATTTTCAGGCTATGTACCACAGTCCTGCATCATATATATATATATATAATTTGGGTTCATACAGCCGTAGTAAACCAGATTAAAGGGCTTGTCTTTGTTGTGCAAGTGAGAACAAATAATCCCACATGAAACTCAAGCGTGTACCGCAAAGCAAAAGCACCCATTTTTACATGAAATAGAAGGGTTAACACAAGGGGTAATAAGTAAGGTTCCATTCAGGTCAAACAGAGTCAGGGTAAGGCTATTGTGCATGTTGGCTCACTGGGAAGACTCTGCTACTGGAACAGAGTCTTAATTATTATCCCTGGTAACACCTGTGTTTACTCTACTATTATATGTCAAAATAGCTGTTTTGAAAAAGGTCCATTTGCTACTCTTTCTCTGTGAACACACCATTACACACAAGACTGTCTGTTATGTATCACCAATATGGATGGGAAAAAACAGGACAAATTTGACATGCTTGCATACAGTTTGAAAAAGTTATGCATCCCAGACTTGTGAGTGTGTCCTGACCTGAGAGCCCTGCTGAATGATGAAAAGAGTGGGCATGGTGGGATATCCTGAGGCTTCCTCCTGGCCCAGTAGTAGCTAGCAAATGTCCCAGCCAGGGTGCACTGCTCCAGGGCCAAGCTGAAGTTAACCAGCCAGAGGAAGACCAGTAGGTTGGACAGCTGCAGCAGGAAGAGGTACTGGTGGTAGGATGTCTCCCCACCATAGAAAGCAAAAAGACACTGAGAACCCAGACACAATGTGGCCTTGGAAATGTTGGTTTTGTTGAAGATCTGACAGAGGGAGGGAGAGAACAGAGGAGAGTTATTTACTATGTCTTATATATAGCAGCAAACAACTAGGTAGCCAGACTGACAGAGAGTTACAACTCTATTGAGCCACGTATCCTCATAACCTTAAGTAGCAACAACTTTATGAGCTTCTTTTATAATAAAATTGTTACTAATAAATGTAAAATCAGATATATATTTAGACTTTTTCTGCTATCAATCTTCATCAGTTAACTTCAGTCATTTCTACATCGAAGCCATCAACTTGTCTCATAGACCCCATCCTTACTAGGCTGCTTAAAGAAGTCTTACCCTTAATTGGCACTTCTTTACTGGATATGATTAATCTTTCTTTATTGTCAGGATATGTACCACAGTCCTTTAAAGTAGCTGCCCTTCTTAAAAAGCCCACTCTTGACCCAGGGGTTTTAGCCAACTATAGACCGATTTCTAACCTCCCCTTCCTCTCTAAGATTCTGGAGAAAGTAGTCGCCAAAGAGTTGTGTGACTTTCTACATAACAATAGTTTATTTGAGGATTTTCAGTCAGGATTTAGAGTTCATCACAGCACAGAGACAGCTCTGGTTAAAGTTAATAATGACCTTTTGATTGCTTCCAACAATGGACTTTCTGTACTTGCATTATTAGATCTTAGTGCTGCATTTGACACGATTGACCATAATATTCTTTTACAGAGACTTGAGCATCAAATCGGCATTAAAGGAACCGCACTAAGCTGGTTTAAGTCATACTTATCAGATCGTTCTCAGTTTGTACACATTAAAACATGAACATCCCTATGTTTGGTTTGTCCTTTTATTTTATTACAAATTCTTTCTGTGAAAAAAGTTAAAGTGAAAACAAAAACTTGAAAACTACATGATATAAGATGACTTTAAGTAGTAGTAGTAAAGTAGTACTTAAACAGAGTACTGTTAAGTAAGAAAACATTTATTAGGGGCCGAGCACTAACAAGTGCAAGGACCCTATTGTTCCTTTAGGAATTATTATTATACCTCTGGGACTTCGACCGCATAATTGGCCCCTGCAACATGCTCAAAATGGCATGAAAATTTGCACAAAATTCAAACGTAGCTAAAATACCGATGATGACATTGTCCCCGTGCACGGGCGCCGCCAAACGTCTAAGCCACGCCCCCCAGAATCAGCCCCCAAGACACGTAAGGCCCACATGTACGAAAATTGCTACGCATGTGTATCATGATAAAAGAAGCAGAAAAGCCTCTTGGACCCATGCCCCAAAACCCACAGGAAGTCTGCAATTTCAATTTTTAATTTTCATAATTTTGTGGTCATTTTGACTTTTTGGGCTTGTATTGAACGAACTCCTCCTAGGGAATTTATCGGATCTGCTTCAAAATTGGTCAGTACAATCAAAACATGGTGCTGAATGAACGCTGTTCAATTTGTAACTGTACGTTGAAGGGCATGTCCGTGGCGTGCCGTCAAAGTTGGCCATTTTTAAGTCCGTGGTCAATTTTGGTGAATTTTCGCCTTGCATTTGAACGAACTTGTCCTCGGGAATTTCTGGGATCTGCTTCAAAATTGATCAGTGCAGTCAAAAAATGCTGCTAAATGAACGCTGTTCATTTTTTGACTGTACGTTGAAGGGTGTGTCTGTGGCGTGCCGTCAAAGTTGGCCATTTTGAAGTCTGTGGTCTGAACAAACAAACTCCTAGGGAATTTATCAGATCTGCTTCAAAACTTGACAGTACTCTTGAATAATGTTGCTGATTACAAGTTGTGCTATTTATGACTGTACGTTGAAGGAGGTGTCCGTGGCGTGCCGTCGAAGTTGGCCATTTTGAACGAATGTCACTTTTGGCATTTCAGGGCTTCTATTTTAACTAACTCCTCCTACAGGTTCTATTGGATGTACTTCAAAATTGGTCAGTGCAGTCAGTTTTTTTCGTCCAACATTGTGCCCGTGACGTGGCGTCCCGTGGCATCCAATTTCAAACCTTCGCCATGAAAGAGGGATTCGTCATAACTTCTGCGTACATGATCCGACTGCAACGAAACTTCACATGTTTGATAAGAGTCCCGCCCTGAACACGTCTACATGACAATATTCAGACGATAGTGAGTGATAGTGCCACCTACTGGCAACAGGAAGCAACCGCTGCGTGGTGATTTTTAGCTGATTTACGTGAGATTTTCATGTCGTGGTCCGCACGTGTTACGACGGCACGTGACGCGGCCGCAGCACGCCCCGAGATGCGTGGAGTGCGAGGTCCCGTCCAATGCTGCTTGCAGCTTTAATTTATTTTTATTGTTTTCTGAGCATTTTATTACTACAGTGAGACAGTCAAGAGATGGCAGATTTTTTTTGTTAAATCAACTAATGGATGAAGAGATGATATGCTCACATAAGAATTTGTTTCTTCCTATTTTTTGACAATAATAAGAAACAAATGAATTTGACAACCATCCTAATGTGTGTAATGGAAATGGTAAATGGACCTGTACTTGTATAGCACCTTTGTAGTCTTCCGACCACTCAAAGCGCTTTTACACTACATACCATATTCGCCCTTTCACACACATTCACTTAGTGATGGCAAAGCCCATCAAACAGAAACTAACACATTCCTACCCAGTTACACACCGATATACAGCATCGGGAGCAATATAAAGTTCAGTATCTTGCTCAAGGATGTTTCGACGCATGGCAGGAGGAGCCAGGGATGGAACCAACAACCTTCCGGTTAGTGGACGACCCCAGTGTGTCAGTGAAGTGTAGATGGTGTCAGTATGCTTTAAACAAGAAGCGTTTTTTATTGGAAAGTTTTGCAAAAATGTTAGAATGATGCAGAGATTTGCAGGAGGGGGTGGTGGGGAAAATACAGTGGAGTGCTGGTTAAACTGTGACAGCAGGGATTTCTTAACAGCAGCTCTGTGATCTGAAATCTGGCTTAGTAAACACATATTTTAAGAATATTTCATATAAGTACTGATAAACTGTACAGTGACCAATAACTGCAGTCATTTGCGTAAAACAAGCGATTTGGATGAAATTTGAGGAGATTATTTCCTGTGAATACTGCATCTGTTCTCTGTATCATGTATTTTCTTCTTTTTTTTAACAATCATATATACTTAATAATAATAATAATAATAATAATAATAATAATAATAATAATACATTTTATTTAAAGGCGCCTCTCTGGGCACTCAAGGACACAGTACAACACATAAAAAATGAAAACAGTAAGAAATAAGAAACAGATAAGAAAAGACAATGTAGATAGTTAAGTGGGGTTTGCAGTTCTGAATAGGTGAGTTTTTAGTCTTGATTTGAAGAGTGTGAGAGAGTCCAGGTTCCTGAGGTCCAGTGGGAGTGAGTTCCAGAGTTGGGGTGCAGAGCGGCTGAAAGCCCTGCTCCCCATGGTGACGAGGCGGGTGGGAGGGACAGAGAGGTGGACAGAGGAGGCAGATCTGAGGGAACGGGAAGGGGTGGTGATGTGGAGTAGTTCGGACAGATAAGGAGGGGAAAGGTTGTGGATGGCCATGAACGTAAACAGGAGGATTTTGAAGTTTATGCGGAGTTTGACCGGGAGCCAGTGGAGTTGCTGCAGAACAGTGGGAGATGTGGTGGATGGAGGGGGTTCTGGTGATGATTAGAGCTGCAGAGTTCTGAACCAGTTGAAGTTTATGGAGGTATTTGTGAGGTAGGCCGAAGAGAAGGGAGTTGCAGTAGTCAATGCGGGAGGTGACAAGGCTGCGTACAAGAATGGCAGTGGAGTGGAAAGAAAGGGAGGGGCGGAGCCGATTAATATTGCGTAGATGGAAATATGCAGACCGGGTGTTGTTATTGATATGGGATTGGAAAGATAATGTGGCTGTCAAGGATGACACCCAGACTCTTAATCTGGGGGGAGGGGGAGACAGAGGAGTGGTCGATGGTGAGGGAAAAACTGTCAGCTTTTGAGAGGGTTGATTTAGTGCCAATGAGAAGAAATTCTGTTTTATCACTGTTTAGTTTGAGGAAGTTGGAGGAGAACCAGGATTTGAACTAGGTGAAGCAGTCAGTAAGGGAGGAAGGTGGGAGTGGAAATGGGTTTGCTGGAGAGGTAGAGCTGGGTGTCATCCGCGTAGCAATGAAAATGGATGTTGTATTTGCGGAAGATATTCCCAAGGGGAAGGAGGTAGATGATGAAGAGAAGGGGCCCCAGGACAGAGCCCTGGGCAAACCAATGGTGACGGGGGACGGGTGGGAACTACAGGATTGGAGTTGGATGAACTGAGTGCGGCCTGAGAGGTAGGATTTAAACCAGTCAAGGGGTGTATGTGAAATACCAATGGAGATTAATCTGTTGAGGAGGATAGTTCAATTCAATTTAATTCAATTCAATTTTATTTGTATAGCGCCAATTCATAACAGAAGTTTTCTCAGGACACTTTTCAAATAGAGCAGGTCTAGACCGAACTCTTTATAACATTATTTACAGGGAACCAACAGTACCACCATGAGCAAGCACTTGGCGACAAGGGCAAGGAAAAACTGTCTGTTAAAAGGCAGAAACCTAGGACAGATCCTTCGGCTCTAGCTGGGTGGTCGACTGTCTCGACCAGTTGGGGTGAGAGAGAGCGAGAGAGAGAGACAGACAGACAGACAGACAGACAGACGCACAGTAACAACAGTATTGGCAATGGCAATCTAGCAGGACCATGGCAGGAGGCTCCACCAGGATCGATAAGAACCTGCAAGACGAGAAAGCACAAGAACTCCGGGGAAGAAGAGTGCAGAAAGAGAGAGGAAGAGAGGAGCTCAGTGCACCATGGGAAATCCCCCAATAGTCTAGGCCTATAGCAGCATAACTAAGAGATGGTTCAGGACTCACCTGAGCCAACCCTAACTATACAGTTACAGCTTTATCAAAGAGGAATGTCTTAAGCCTACTCTTGAATGTGGTGAGGGTGTCTGCCTCCCGAACCGCAACTAGAAGCTGATTCCATAGGAGAGGAGCTTGGTAACTGAAGGCTCTGGCTCCTGTTCTACTTTTAGAGACTACAGGAACCACAAGTAGCCCAGCATTCAGAGAACGTAGTGTTCTAGTGGGGTAATAGGGTACTATGAGCTCTTTAAGATATGAAGGGGCCTGACCATGAAGAGCTTTATAGGTGAGGAGGATTTTAAATTCTATTCTACATTTTACAGGCAGCCAGTGCAGAGAAGCTAGTACAGGAGAGATGTGATCTCTTTTTCTAGTTCCTGTCAGTACTCATGCTGCAGCGTCCTGAATTAATTGGAGCGTTTTAATGGACTTATTGGGGCAACCTGATAATAAAGAGTTGCAGTAATCCAGCCTTGAAGTAACAAATGCATGGATTAGTTGTTCTGCATCTGTATGTGATAGGATGTGTCTAATTTTTGTAATATTACGTAAATTAAAGAAGGCAGTCCTGGAGGTTTGCTTTATGTGGGAGTTAAATGACAAATCCTGATCAAAGATAACTCCAAGATTCCTGACAGTGGTGCTAGAGGCCAAGGTAATGCCATCTAGAGTAACTATATCTTTAGACAGTGAGTCTCTAAGGTTTTTGGGGCCAAGAACAAGAATTTCGTTTTTTTCTGAGTTTAACATCAGAAAATTGCAGCTCATCCAGGATTTTATGTCCTTAAGACATGTTTGTAATTTAGATAATTGATTAATTTCATCGGGCTTCATCGATAGATATAACTGCGTATCATCTGCTTAACAGTGAAAGTTAATGGAGTGATTCCTAATAATGTTGCCTAAAGGGAGCATATATAAAGTAAATAGTATTGGTCCAAGTACAGAAGCTTGTGGAACTCCATGACTAACTGTAGTATATAGTCTGAGAGATGGTGTCGAAGGCCGCACTCAGATCGAGGAGGATGAGAATAGTGAGTAAACCAGAGTCGGCTGCCAGGAGGAGGTCGTTTGTGATTTTGATTAGTGCTGATTCAGTGCTATGGAGGGGGCGGAAACCAGACTGGAATTGTTCGTTAAGGTTGTTAATTGTAGATGAGAATACATTTGGAAAGCAACTGTTTTTTTAAGGATTTTGGAGAGGAAAGGTAGGTTGGATATGGGACGAAGGTTATTATAATTATTAGGGTCAGCACCAGGTTTTTTCAATATTGGAGTGATGGCAGCTGTCTTGAAGAGTGTAGGAACAATTCCAGTGGAGAGTGAGGAATGGATGATGGCAGAGATGAGGGGGAGCAGAGAGGGGAGGCATGCTTTCACCAAAACTGTGCAGAACTGTGGGGAGGGGATCTAACTGACAGGTGGAGGGCTTGGACTTTAGGATGAGGTCTGAGATATCTGAGTCAGAGGGGAGCTGAAATAAGGAGAATGAATGAGACGTCAGACAGGGTTCAGGGGAGGTGCTGAGGGAGGAGCTTGGGCCTAGGTGCAGGTGGATCTGATGAATTTTCTGATTGAAAAAGGACATCAGGGAGTTACAGAAAGCAGTTGAGTACAGATGGGGAGGGAGAGAGGCAGGGGGTCTGAGAATATTGTTGAGAAGAGAAAACAGTGACTTGGAATTACCTTCATTTGAACAGATTATGCCAGAGTAGTAGTTGAGTTTGGTTTAAGAAATGCAGTTCTTATAATGTAAAATGTGATTTTACTGCATGTCTTTGTGAACAACAAGACCAGTTTTCTTGTACAGTCGCTCAAGCTGTCGACCTTTGGCTTTCATCTGCCGTAGTTCAGAAGTGAACCAAGGGGCAGAGGTGGAGAAGGGGAAAGACCTGGTTTTCATAGGAGCGAGAGAATTAAGAATGGTGTTGAGGCCATTGTTGTAGTGGGAAGCCAAGTCGTCGGGGGTGGAATTGTGAGTGTTCAGGAGACAGCTGATACCAGAGGAAAGTGCATCATGATTAATCTTCTTAATGTTACGGAATGAGATAACACGTGGGGGCTTTGTTGAGGACAGAGTGAGTTTGACTTTGAACGACAGAAGCAAATGATCAGTTATAGGAAGTTCATCAGCAATACAGTTGGAAGGAATGAGACCAGAACAACAAACTAAATCCAGAATGTGACCCTTTGAGTGAGTGGGAAAGTCAATATGCTGCTGGAAGCCAAAGCTGTCAAGACAGGATGCAAAGTCACGGGTAAGAGGGAGATTGATATTGTCCATATGTATGTTGAAGTCCCCCAGCAATATTACATTTGGGGAAAATGTGGCTAGGTGGGTAAGTAGAGCAGCAAAGTCATTAATGAAGTTATTGCTTGTTTTAGGGGGGCGGTAAACAGTTGCAACGATGGTGGGAACTGGACCAGAAAGTTGACACACAGTTGATTCAAACGAGTTGAAGGTAGGAGCAGATACCGGTAGGACTTTACACTTCTCGCGCTGAATTATCGCGAGACCTCCACCACGCCCGGAGCCACGAGGTTGACAGGTGTAAACAAACCCAGGGGGCGTGGTGATGGCAAAGTCCATCGAACAGAAACTAACTCATTCATACACATTCTCACACCGATGCACGGCATTTTGGGGTTCAGTATCTTGCTCAAGGATACTTCGACATCGAACCCACAACCTTCCGATTAAGGAACGACCCGCTCTGCCTCTGAGCCACAGTGAGAGTGGATCAGTTTCTTACTTGAGAGTTGAGAACAGTTGCACAGTCCAACAGTAGAAGAGCTTAAAAGTTTCAAAGTTTCAAAATATAAAGGTTAAAAGTTATCGACGAGCAGCGGCAGCATATCGCGACAGCGTTCACTCGTGCCGTGTTGGATGACAAATCATGAGTTATCCGCAGCCTCGTACTCTTATTCACTGTCTATTTTTGCTGGAAACTCACAGGAAAAAATAGGCGAGACTCTAACTCTCGAGTGAAGCGTTGCTGCAACCGCAGCCTGAGACGCGTAACTCACGTGGACAGTGTGGCTGCTCTTAACAGGCTCTGTTTTGACAAATTCACTGTTTTCTTCTTATTGTTCCATGTATTAGCTCTTTGGCTGTTTTAACTCCATACTTTTCTAATGCAGGACGAGGCTGTTTATCAGAGAGTGAAGGCTCTGTGAATATAGCTTGTGTTCAGGTCTTTAAAGTTTACATCTTAAATAATAATCTAAATTTTAAGAAAAACAATTTCATTTTCTTCACAGAAATGAATGAGATATAGGCTTACTGTGTTTCCTTACATCCTTTAAAATCAAGAAGGCCTCACAACCTCCGTGAAGCCTAGTGGGGGTCCTAACCCCCAAAACTATTTGTTTAATACACAGTTTTGTATATATGTGTACGTGTGTGTGTGTGTGTGTGTGTGTGTGTGTGTGTGTGTGTGTGTGTGTGTACATATCACCCATCAGTGTTAAATATAAATCCTGTATATTGTATATAAACATGTATGTATACTGTACAACCAGCAACTTCAAGCGCTTTTACACTACGTGCCACATTCACCCTTTCACACACATTCACTCAGTGATGGCAAAGTCCATTGAATGGAAACTAACGCATTCATACACATTCACACACCGATGCACAGCATCGGGAGCAGTTTGGGGTTCAGTATCTTCGGATACTTCGACATGTGGCAGGAGCAGCCGGGGATCAAACCAACCCATACAATATTTATTTTTTTGCACTATTTGTGTTGTTTACAATTTACAGAAACCCTTGAATTGTATATAGACACTGAATGTTGTTGGTCATTGTTGCTTGCCCCCAGCTCTCACAAGCGCAAGAGCCGTGCTGGGGAACTGGAGCGCTGGCCACCGGTACTAGTGAGGCCACGTTCTTCAGTTCTTGGACCTGTGATTCTGAACAGCAGTCGAGCAGTACCAGCCAGAGGAGAAAGGTCCTGAAGTCCCTCCATCACTACAACAAAGTAGGCTGAAACTCACATACCCTGCCCGGTCCACACACGCACAAGAAAGAGCTGGTGTCTGTCTGTAAACTTTGATTCCCATCGTTAAGCTTAGGAGAATTTTAGTTGAGGGCCTCGTAGTTTTAAAATTTTATGCCCATAATATTTAAATCCACTAGTTGCATCGCAAAATCCACCATCGTTCCTGAATCACCCAATATCAATGATTCATTGACTGTCCACATATTCTGTTATTTGTTGTCATTTGTGTCTACATTATCATTTCATACTATTTACTCCACATACACCTATTCTGTAAGTACTTGTAAGCATATAATAGGTCAGCTTTGTCGTCCTTGTTTAGCTGTTCATTTATCTTGCTATTGCAACTGTGTGTAACATTGAAAGCAACTTAAAAACGGGGGCAAATGCCTTGTATGTGTACACACACAAGGCCAATAAAGCTGATTCCGATTCAAATCCTTTTGTAAATACAGGCAAATGTACTTTGACTGTTTAGCACAGCAAAAGGGGAAAAAAACCCAAAACATAATTAGTATATAATTAATATACCATTATTGGTATCTGTTTAACCAACTAAATCATCTGTGTTCATATAGTACCATAGGTTGATCAGAAGTTACTATATTTATTAGTAAACTATTTACTGAAGAGTCTTGCTACAGAAGTATTTCTATATATATTATCTATATTTATATATTACTATATTACAATGCAGATATTTAGCAACATGTTCCTTTAAATCACACAACATTTTTTTTGTTTTGATGTATTTAACTTTGCTAATTTTGTCTCAAAGACCTGGAAAAGAAGGCAAGATAGACTGTTTCATTAGAGACTCAGTCAGGGATTTGGGTCTGTACTATCTATTGATAGTCTTAAAATAGGAATGTGAAAGATGCTTTTCTTGTTTATATATATGTGTAAATGTGTATACATAAAAATGTCATCATTCATTCATCATTCAAAAATCATTCATGTCATGTATGGCTTTGTCATGGTTTTATAAGCAGAAAGATAAATCAAACTGAAGATTATACACTGTACCTCAGGGTTGCAGGTAGTATTGGCATAGGGGCAGCTCACATCAGGAGACATCACTTTGTAGACAGCTTCACCTGAGGATGCCAGGTAACTGGTTTCACAGTGCTTGTTAAAGAGAAAGCTAATGAGATAGAAAATCCACTTTCTGTCCTCTGGATACAGAGAGCTAGAGTTTCACAAATAAACATTTGAACATCTACAAATGAATCTCTTAGCTCTGAATGACAAACATTTAACATAAAATGTAAATGTTTCCATTCTTCCTGTTGAAGGATACACAGCAGTAACTGCCCAGTAGGAGATGAAAACAGTCAGCAAAAGGAAGGTGATGACTGGATAGAATAGCGTGGACATGATGTGGCCAATGGCTCTGCAACAACAGACAAATTGTAAGGCAATGAAAGCAACTCTGTATCTGATTTTTATGAGTTTCCATTACTGTCTTTAGGGTTCATACTTGCTGGCCTCTCTGAGCAGGGCGATAGCCACTCGGACTCTTCTCCTTAAGAAGATCAACATCAGCAAGATGGATGCTTCTGTCGCTCCCAGAGACACCACTAGCAAACACAAACAATTCAATTCAATTAATTTTTATTTGTATAGTACCAATTCATAACAGAAGTTATCTCAGGACACTTTTCAAATAGAGCAGGTCTAGACCGAACTCCTTATAACATTTACAACAGTTTATGCTGCTTATAAAATAACCATTATACCATTATTACCATTATAAAATATGCTGAAAATAACCTAAAATGGCACCACGGACGGTTGCCTCGGTGTGTTGGTGCGCTTTGTTTTTTTGTTTTTTTTCAGTTGTTGGCTGTGATACCCGGAGCTTTTTCACTAGAGAAGAGCTCATGAACATCAGGGGAATAACTCTAGCTGATCTCTTTCCCATTTTTCTTCTTTCTTCCGTGGAATTATTGGACACTGTGTTCAAAGGTGCGCTCACCTTTGCTCGCAGGAGGAGAGGGAACGTGCTGGTCCGCTTGTGCGTCTCCGCCAGCGCGGACATCGCACACCGTTACCTGGAATATTCCTCTCCAAAGTGCGTTCACTGTGCAACAAAATGGACGAATTTCAGCTACTTCTGGGGAAAAACAGTGACTTTTCTTCATCCTCTGTTTTATGCTTCACGGAGACATGGCTGGGTGGATCGATACCGGACGCTGCAGCTGGCAGGCTTCCAACTCCTCAGAGCGGATCGTGACACTGAACTCTCCAGCAAATCGAAGGGTGGAGTTATCTGTTTTTATACCAACAGTAGCTGGTGCAATGATGTGACAGTGATCCAACAGCACTGCTCTTCTACTCTGGAATATTTTATCATAAACTGCAAACCTTCGAGTTCGTCTCATTCATTCTGGTTGGTGTTTACGTTCCACTGCAGGCCAACGTGCAGGACGCACAGCGCATGCTCGCGGACCAGATACTGTGTGTGGAGCTGACTAAAGCCATAGATATACATACGCCGCATCGACTGCCACCGCCCACTAGAGCGGCGTGCCTACAGGGCGGCCTTCTTGGAACAGGGCTAGCAGAGGCAGCGGTGCATCAACCTACGAAGGAAAGAGGTACTCAATCTCAAAGTAGAATTATTCGCAGAATTTTGGACCGATTTCCAAACGTATTAATTTGTTAAAAACGTCACACATGTAGCTATGATACAGGGTGCTTGGATATTTTAAAAATGCTGGTTTTACTACCCAAATACAAATTCTACTTAATGTTATCAGCAGACGAGCTTCTGACAGAACATTTGTGAATAAAAGATGCCGGACTTCTGTGCCGCGTATGGATGCTTTAATGAGCGGAGCATACAAACCAGATCTCGTGGGAGACAGCAGATCCTATGTCTACAATGATAATAATAATTAAAGCTGCAAGCAAAGTTGGGCGGGACCTCGCACTCCACGCAACTTGGGGCGGGCTGTGGCCACGCCGCATGCCGTCGTAACACGTGCGGACCACAACATGAAAATCTGCCGTTAATCAGCTCAAAATCGCCACGCAGCGCTTACTTCCTGTTGCCAGTAGGTGGCGCTATCACTATGTCTGAATGTTGTCATGTAGACATGTTCAAGGCGAGACTGTGATAACACACGTGAGGTTTCATTGAGATTGGACCACGTACGCTGAAGTTATGAGGACGTGTTCAGGGCAAAACTGTTTCAGAATATATGAAGTTTATTGGAGATTGGACATTGCACACTGAAGTTATGAGCACTATTTTATGGCGAATCTGCTGAAATGGACAAGTTGTCACTGGTACGCGGTTTAATGTACAGTCACAGCTCAACTTTTCAATGTTTGTATGATGACAGAATTCAAAGTGGCCAACTTTGACCTCACGCCACAGACACGCCGTTCAACGTACAGTCTCAAATACCACAACTTTTTAATCAGCACCATTTTTTGACTGTACTGACCAATTTTGAAGTAGATCCGATAAATTCCCTAGGAGGAGTTTGTTCAAATACATCGCAAAAAGTTCGCGGAAAGTGAAACTTTTAATCAAAATGGCCGACTTCCTGTGGGGTTTCGGGTATAGGTCCAAGAGGCTTTTTTGTATGTCCCGGCATGTTACACGTGCCTACCGAGTTTCGTACATATCGGTGAAACGTGGCGCCGGGGCTGCTGTTATTTTATCCTGTAGGGGGTGCTACAAACACTCTACACGTGCCCTGTGAATTTCATATTCATAACTATTACGGTCTCCGCACAGTGATTTACCGTGCCACCAGAGCGACCCCCTAGTGGCGGATTGTTGACACATTTTTTAGCGAGCCTCATGGAGCCATGGGGAAGCATTTTACCAAGTTTCATCTTAATCACACATACCGTTGTAGAGATATAAACTTCCACATTTTAAAGAGCGCCACCTTTTGGCAATGGCCTGAAATTGTGCACGATGCTTAAGGAAGACATGTGGAACTATGGACCCAAGTTTGGTGTCAATCAGACATACCAATGTGGAGAAATGGTCCACTTCCTTTTTTGACGAAAAATCTACAGGAAGTTGGAATTTTATAGCGTTCTTATTTTTTGAAATTTCAAAAATGTTCAAATTACTCTTTTTGCCAGGGCGGTCCCCAGGTGCTAGTTGAAAAATTTTGTGCGAATCAGACAAAGCGTGTAAGAGGAACACGAAAAAGTAGTTTAAGAACCCCTTCGACTGCAAAAATGCAGTCGAAGGGGGCTAAGAATAATTAAAGCTGCAAGCAGCGTTGAACGGGATCTCGCGCCTGGCGCGCGTCGGGGCGTGCTGCGGCCGCGTCACATGCCGTGGGGGTATGCGTCACGTGCCGTCGTAACAAGTGCGGACCACAACATGAAAATGTCATGTAAATCAGCTCAAAATCGCCACGCAGCACTTACTTCCTGTTGCCACTAGGTGGCGCTATCACTGTGTGTTCAGGGCAGGACTCTTATCAGACAAGTGAAGTTTGGAGCCGATTGGACAATGTACTCTCAAGTTATAGCTAATTCGTGTTTCGTGGCGATACATCAAAATTTACCGCCACGCCACAGACACGCCCCCTCACCACAGTCAACATATATCAACAACAATGTGTTTTGCATTTTATGAGTAAATTTCAGCTGGATTTATTCATCCTGCTAGGAGTAGAACATGAAAGCATAAAACGTGATACTTCCTGTTGCCAAAGTTCTCCGTTTTAAAGAGCGCCACCTAGTGGTGATGGCCTGAAATTGTGCACAATGGCTAAGGAAGACATGGGGAACTATGGACCCAAGGTTGGTGTCAATCGGACATGCCATTGTGGAAAAATACTCCACTTCCTCTTTTGAACAAAAATCCACAGGAAGTGCTAATTTTATAACTTGCTTATTTTTAGAAATATCATAATTCTTTCAATTAGTTTATTATTAGGACGATCCCCAGATGCTACGTGCAACATTTTGTGCGAATCGGACAAAGCACATAGGAGGAACACGAAAAAGTAGTTTATGGACATTTTGTTTCTCTAGCCGAAAAAAAACTCCAGGGGGTAATGTGCATGGCCTATATGGGGAGATTCAGCTTCATTCACCGAGCGCGTGGATATACGTTTTTTGAATGTGTGACAAACTATACAAAAGTTAGCCTAAACGCACTTTAAAATATAAAACGTGATACTTCCTGTTGCCACTAGGTGGCGCTCTGAGTATTACTGAATATTATCACATAGATGGGTTCAGGGCGGGACTCTTATCAGACGTGAAGTTTCGTTGCAGTCGGATCATGTATGCAGAAGTTATGACGAATCCCTCTTTTTATGGCGAAGGATCGAAATTGGATGCCACGGGACACCACGCCACGGGCAGGAGGTTTGACGAAAAAAACTGAAGAGCACAACTTTTAATGGTGAATGTGTTTAGATGGCTGTGTCCAAATCTGATGTCGGTCCGATAAATGCCCTAGGAGGAGTTCGTTCAAATACAACGTGTGTAAATCGCCAAAAATGGCCACAAAATCCAAAATGGCGGACTTTCTGTTGGGTTTGAGGTATGGGTCCTTGAGACTTTTCTGCTTCTTTTATCATGATACACATGCGTAGCAATTTTCGTACATGTGGGCCTTACGTGTCTTGGGGGCTGATTGGCTTAGCCGTTTGGCGGCGCCCGTGCACGGGGACAATGTCATATCGGTATTTTCGCTACGTTTGGATTTTGTGCAAATTTTCATGACTTTTTGAGCATGCTGCGGGGGTCAAATATGCGGTCAAAGAGGCACAAAATAATAATAATAATTCTAACAGGAACAATAGGGTCTTGCACTTGTCAGTGCTCGATCCCTAATAATAAGAAAAGGTAAGAAATCGAGCAAAAACAATAGGGACCTCCAGCGGTCGCTGGCTCGGTCCCAAATAAAGATTTCTCGCCATGAATTCTGGCACCTCTGGGCATCTCTGTGTTCCTTCATTGAAGGATCGTACAGATCGTCCATCTTCGAGTGGTGCGCGACCTGGCGTGACTCGGCCAGAAATTAAAACTCTGTGAACCTGTTACGAGGACATTAAAGCAGTGGTCCAGTGAAGCTGCGGAGGATCTCCAGGCGTGTTTGGACTCTACGGACTTGGATGTTTTCAGGACTGCTACTGAAAGTCTGGATGAGTACACAGAGGCTGTGACATCATACATCAGCTTCTGTGAGGACTGCTGTATACCATCATGCACCAGGGTGAGTAACAACGACAAACCCTGGTTCACAGCCAAACTCAGACAGTTACGGTTGCAGAAGGAGCAAGCGTTTAGGAGGGGAGACAGGGACAAGTTTAAGGAGTCTAAGTACAATTTAGGAAGGCGGTGAAGAAGCTAAACGACAGTACTCTGACTCTAACAAACTACAAGCCCAAAACCACCCACTCTATCAACGACTTGCGCCTGGCAAATGAGCTGAATGGGTTCTACTGCCACTTCGACAGATAAAGGAGCAGTCCTGACACCTTCCCCCTGTGACACCCCTCAACAGCTCCACCTCACCAGTGTCGTCGTCCCCCCCCCCCCAGCAGGAGCCAGGGCCACTCTACAACTTCACACCTATGTGAATCCCTGCTCCTCCACCACAGTGACGACTCTCTGCCGACAAGAGAGGGACGTCAACAGGCTCTTTCAGAGGCAGAACCCCCACAAAGCAGCCGGACCAGATTCTGTCTCTCCATCCTCCCTGAAGCACTGTGCTGACCAGCTGTCTCCGGTGTTCACGGACATCTTCCAACACCTCATTGGAGACATGTCATGTGCCTGCTTCAAGTCATCCACCATCATCCCTGTCTCCAAAAAAGCAAGGACCACAGGACAAAATGACTACAGACCTGTTGCCCTCACCTCTGTGGTCATGAAGTCTTTTGAGCGCCTTGTGCTATCCCACCTGAAAGCCATAACAGACCCACTCCTGGACCCCCTGCAGTTCGCCTACAGAGCCAACAGGTCTGTAGATGATGCAGTTAACATGGCCCTGCACTTCACAGGAACCTACACCAGGATCCTGTTTGTGGACTTCAGCTCTGCGTTTAACACCATCAACCCAGCTCTGCTACAGGACAAACTCTCCCAGCTCACTGTGCCTGACTCCACCTGCAGGTGGATCACAGACTTCCTGTCTGACAGGAAACAGCACGTGAAGCTGGGGAAAAATGTCTCTGACTCCCAGACCATCAGCACCGGTTCCCCCCAAGGCTACTCTACTCTTCTCCCCGTACACCAACAGCTGCACCTCCAGTCACCAGTCCGTCAGGCTACTGAAGATTGCGGATGACACCTGCCTCATTGGGCTCATCTCTGGTGGAGATTAGACTGCCTACAGATGGGAGATTGACCATCTGGTGACCTGGTGCAGCCAGAACAACCTGGAGCTAAACGCTCTAAAAACAGTGGAGATGGTTGTGGACTTTAGAAAGAACCCAGCCCCACCTGCCCCCATCATCCTGTGTGACTCCCCAGTTGACTCTGTGGAGTCCTTCCGCTTCCTGGGTACCATCATCACCCAGGACCTCAAGTGGGAGCTGAACATCAGCTCCCTCACCAAGAAAGCCCAGCAGAGGATGTACTTCCTGCAGCAGCTGGGGAAGTTCAACCTGCCAAAGATGATGATGGTGCACTTCTACACCGCCATCATCGAGTCCATCCTCACCTCATCCATCACCATCTGGTACGCTGCTGCCACTGCCAAGGACAAGGGCAGACTGCAGCGCATCATTCGATCTGCTGAGAAGGTGATCGGCTGCAATCTGCCATCCCTCCAGGACCTGTACGTCTCTAGGACCCTCAGGCGTGCAGGCAAGATTGTGGCTGACCCCTCCCAACCCAGCCACAAACTCTTTGAACCTCTCCCCTCTGGCAGGAGGCTGCGGTCCATCAGGACCAAAACCTCTCGCCACAAAAACAGTTTCTTTCCGTCTGCAGCTGGCCTCATTAACAAGGCGTGGACCCCCCACTGTCACTGACTCTTATACCCACCCTGTATATATGCATTACATTAATGCACTCCTGTCTTCTGTACAGTTTTCCTATCTTTTCTTATCTTTCTTATCTTTATTTATCTATATTTTTAAAAAAGTACTTTATTCTTGTGTGATTTTTGTGTGACTTGTATATTTTTGTGTGATTTATACATTTTTATTTTCTTTATTTTTGTGTGATTGTATATTTTAAGCACCACAAGACAAATTCCTTGTATGTGTAAAAACCTACCTGGCAATAAATCTCATTCTTATTCTGATTCTGATTCTGATTATAGTTTCAAGGCTGAGGCTGTTGCATAGTGTCCTTGCAAAGTAAACCAGCAGACATTCATGATCAATTGGTTTACTTGGATTGAGTTTACTTACAAATGAACATAATATTTTATACATTTTATTGGACATACAAAATTGCCACCCCATTGTCCCTACCTCTTCCACTCCGCACTGTACTTCAGAGGCTATAGCAGGCTCTATTTTAAAGCTACAGTGAAGATACTGGTATCTTATGAAACTAGCACATCCATTGGTACTAACCATGTCATGCTCGCATGTCGAGAAGAGGGCAAAATAATGCTTTAAAGGGTAAATTTTGGCAATGGAAAAACTGGCAGGGTCATTTTCAAAGGTATCCTTTGATTTCTGCATGTGGTATAAATGAGTTATTTACACCTAGTGTACTGAGTATTTCTGCAAACTGTGGCCCCCACTTCATGCCACGCCTGCATAACTCCTTCTTGCACTGAAAATTACAAATGAGGCATAAAGCAGGCTATCCAACAAATGTCTGATAAGTGCTGCTTCATTAAGGATTGAATGAAAAGCACGTCTTTTGAATAGTACACGGCTGTGGCTCAGAGCGGGTCGTCCACTAATCGGAAGGTTGTTGGTTCGATCCCTGGCTCCTCCTGCTACATGTCGAAGTATCCTTGGGCAAGATACTGAACCCGAAACTGCTCCTGATGCTGTACATCGTTGAGTGAATGTGAATGAATGAGTTAGTTTCTAAATGTGACATGTAGTGTAAAAGCTCTTTGAGTGGTCGGAAGACTAAAAAGGTGCTATACATTTACAGGTCTTTTTTGTCAAATGAAACTACACTATCCACCCAAGAGAAAGCGCATTCATTCCTCTTAAGTACTTCAAAGGAAGAGAGTTTACTTGAAAATAGTACCTAAGGGATGTATAGTCACACTTAACTTGACCAAATATCCAAGGGTTAGAATCTGGATTGTAATGACTGACAGACTTACATAATATGATCCATGTCTGTGTGAGCTGTAGATAGATCTGCAGGTCAGTCTGCAGGCCAACTTCTATAATGGCAACATCAGAGCCTGGTCTGAGTCTGAGCTGGGACAACTCCATGGAACAGTACCACATACCTGCACACACACACACACACACAACACATACAATAGTAGTTTGAAGAAAGTTAATAGGAAGAATCATAAACGTTTCCACTGCCTGAGCTGAAGAGTTGTTCTTTTCCAATCTGTCTGTCTCTACCATCATTTCCACAGTAACTGACAGCAGTAGAGGAGGAGTTGACAGATTCTCACATTACATTAGAACGATAAAATTCAGGTAGAAATTCCTTTAAAACAGTGTAAAGTCCTGAGTATACACACCATATGCCAGCAGCAGTATGACAGTGATGATGGTCATCCACAATAGCAACCCAGCTGTGAACCTCAGTAGCAGGATGAAGACCAGACTAACAGCAAAGGATAACAGCAGACCTCTGTAACACATGCACAGATACAAAGGGAAGAATAAAAACATCATGTCAAAATATAAGGTTTTGCTGTAGATGCAACTTCAACTTGAAAATCACCCTCGGCTCACTTGTTCAGATTCTAAAATTTCAACAACCTCAACATGCAAAGTAAATGATTTCAGGTTTATCATTCTAAAAAGTGCAGGCATAAAGACAAAAATATCATGTACTTTTTTTTTTTTTTGATGAACAATGTTGAGACAAAGTTCATGTTGTGTTTTTTCTGTATGTGTCTGTGTTGTTTATGTAGTTACATGAGTATCCATGTCCATGATTTGGCATAATCTTCCACTATCTTTATGCCCAGCTCTTTAGTGTCCACTAGACCAGTTATACCTCTGCAAGGGAGAGAGAGCAAAGAGTGTCAATATACAGACAAAGGTAGGAATTTTACTAGAAATTAAAAACAGAGACTGGCCCTACTGAAGTCACATGTATATCAAAGACAAATATATTAAAAATAAGTTTTTATGATCCATGTACATCACTTGACTATACTCATTTGCAGTCAGGGTCTAGATGAGCTATTTTCCTCTTGATCACTGAAATTTATGTGTTCATATGTCCACACCTTGAGAACTACGTACTCTATTCCCAATCCCTAAATCACATTCCCTCACAATGTGAGATTTATTTTTTCTAAAACACATGAAGATTTGCACATGTGCTCTCCGTCACCAGTCAACTGAGAGGGAATGACACGCAGCAAAGGGCCAATGGTTGGACTCGAACCCATAGCCGCTGCAGTAAGGCCCCACCAGGTGAGCTACAGGGCGCCCCAGATGAATTGTTTTAAATTAGATTTTTTTTTTTAAGGAAGTTTGGGGCTGATTTGTTGCCACTCCAAATTCACACAGCTTTTCTCTGGAAGACAGAGATCAGGTCTCAATGAGGATAACGACAACCCATTAAAAATACTAGAATATCAGATCATTTATCATCTGGATAACATGTCCTGATACAGATTTAATACCATATGTAAATGGGGAAACAGCAAAAGAAATAATTTGTTTGTTAATATGTAAAAGAAGAAGACGTGACAGTACTTGGCAGCATGTTGGAGTTCAGTGACACTGCGTGCCATTTCCAGAGCATCTTTAAACCTGGTTCTGTTAGCTACAGTCACAGTCCCATTCAGAGTGATGAAGTCTGGTAGACATCTCTGGAAAACTGACATACACACAGGCACACAAAGACAAATACTTCATATTGAGTCTGTATAATAGTTAAAAATATCAAGGGAACAAGCAACATGGTATTCCACCATCTAATTTTGTCAAGTGGGCACTTTTAAATGTAAAAAGGACATAATTAGTTGATATTTTGTAGTAAGTTCTCACGGAGAGAGCTGTCTCATCCTTACATGGTCTACTAGGCACAATCATGGAGGGACAGTCCTCATCTCGTAGAACCTGAGACACTGGCTAGAAGAAACAGTGGAGAGACAGGAGTGTTAGAATAAGAATATGTATGTGTGTTATGGTACTTTGTAAACAAAGACAACAAAAAACAACAAACAAAAAGTGTTTTTTAGGTCTACAGTAGGATTACATCATCAACAAAGATTCAGAGATGTATTCCCAATGGCAGTATATAATTAGTGGACGAAGCTCTGGGTCTGTGAAATAAGGGGCAATGTGGGAGTCGGTGAGAGTTTTGGAGATTTTGGATAAACCACTTACCCTTGATGAATTGTAGAAAGCTCTATACTCATGCTCAACAACAAGTCCCTGGGTTTAGATGGATACCCAATATAATTTTATAAACATTTCTAATTCTTTTGTCACCCTTATTTTTCAAAATGATCTCCAAAATCATCCATAGATTTAAAATTCCCTTGCCCTACAAAGGCAAAAGACCATAACACGTTTTTTTTGTTATCCAGCTAAATGAATTGTATACAGAAAATTGGAAATGTGGCAATTCTTTTAATTTTTAATAGTTATTATAAACGTTATTTATCTCCCTGTTTTGAGATAAAAAAAGATTTTCCATGTGAAGGCAAAAGGTATTACCTTCCATTTGATCACTCACTTGGTTAACTGATTACTATATAAAATCAGTATATAATAATAATGATAAAATTACATAACATTTAGTGATCATGGCACAATTAGGCTAAGAGTTTGGTTTTGTTTGTCAAGTAGTTAGTCTAAGCTAGTTAATATCTTTCTTGTAGCCTAACGTAATCTCTCTTACCTTGCGTATACAGCTGTAGAGCCAGAGTATTTTTTACATCTAATTGTGGTGAATTAAGGGTATATTTGAATGTGTAAGACTAGTTTGATGACAAGGAATAAAGTTACAGTGTGATTCACAGAGGCTCCAAACAAGACTCTAACTCTGGGGGAAAACGAGGACACAGCAGATACAGCCCAGGTAGGAGAGGAGAGGCATGAAGCAGGTAGAGAAGCGAGGGAGGTTGTGGGCATCCGAGAGGCAGTGACAGCGTGTAGAGAGACAATATTTCCATATCTTACCTAGAGTTGGTGACTGTTGGTCACAGTGTAAAGATTATAAAGACGGCTTAGTGAGTTTTAATTACTTTTCTGTCGGGTTTGAATGAAGTGTGTTTTAAGATCGCTTAACAAGGTCTTTGTTCATGCTCATTTCCCAGCTGGAACTACTGGGGTGGTTGGGGGGCACTAACATAGCACATACACATGCGCAAACATACATCTATATATATATATATCTATATATAGATATATATACATAAAAACCTTAACTGATGTTAAAGGATTCTACATGTTTTTTTTTCTGGGGGTTGTGAAAGTTAAGGTAAAGACAACCTACCATTTTCAAAATTGACTCAAAGATATTTGTCCACATGATAAAGCAGATTTTGAATGTTTCAAAAATGACTATAACTAATTTTTGACCAAATTAAAATGAAGGCATTTTGCCTTTGCACAGTACTGCCTTAATTACTTATCCCTTTATCCCCTTACTCCCTCACTTACTTATCCCTAAACCAAACAAAGACCCCCGCACACTGCTCTAACTACCACCCTATATCTTAACAGATGTTAAAATTATAGACAAAGCTTTGGCAATGAGACGGGAATCTGTAATTTCACCAGAAATTGTACATCCAGATATCTGCTGCTAGGTCTGAAAAACCAACATGGGGACGGCCATAATACAGAACTCGAAGCTTTAAAACAGTCCTCCACAAACCAAAGGGTTACGTCACGATAGGTTCACACTTATGTTCCTGAGGTCACTATACTTGGACATGCACCAATCCTTGGCTACACCATTTTGTCCATTAAAATTTGTATCAGGATCCACTTTGACAATATTGTTATACTGTACTCTATGCTGTAAATTCTCTCTCAGTATGTAGTATGTAGTATGTTTCGAAAGTATAGGTACCTTGTCAGGATTATTAAAGCCAGGCTTACAGAACAGTCTGTAATATTCCCAGTAACTCTTGCTGAGTTTGTGTTGCAGCTGCATCTCAGTATAAGTGGCAAACTTGTCTGGACACTTTGACACACACATCTGGAAGAAAATTGACACAAGCAGTACAGATGTTCTAAGTTATTGAGCATTAGAGTAATGTATGATACATTCAATATGTCTCTACCAAAAATCTGTGTTGTACTACAGTGCCTGAGCAGTATGTTAGTCTCTTTCCCTCTGTTACAATTTAATACTCTTTAGCTTAAACTGACTCAAATCAGTTGATGTGACCTTGATCAACTGATGCTGATTCATCATTAGTTTTTAATAGAGTACCTGAGTTGTGGGGCACTGTAGGTTGATGAGTATAGTCGGGTTGGTACATTTCAGGATGTTGAAATAGAATAGGATGGGTTTCTTCCTGTAAAAAAAGTGTGAACATCACGCACATACAATATATCAGCAACCTGACGTTCAACAAGTTAAGTTAGTTAGTTATTTTGCAGGGAAATATTGTCATTTTCCTTTCTTTTGTCTGCAATATCTGCTTGTTTTTGGACAGTGATTTCCTGACCCAGAATGCCTTTAATCAACCCCCAGAATAGAGATTGTTGCTTTATATGAAAGCAGGGCAGAGGCACATTTAATACTTAATATTGCCTTTATTTGATAGAGACAGCTGAAGATCGACAGGAAAGGGGGCGCAGAGAGAGAGGGGATGACACGCAGCAAAGGGCGGCAGCAACTCCGTATATGAGTCGCCAGCTCTACCGACTGAGCTAACCAGGCGCCCAATTGTACAGCCCTTTTAAGAACCCAAGTTACCAGGATTGTTTGCCTTTTAAACATATGACAAGAATAACAATGAAAAATATTACATTTTAAATAGTATAATTGGCTACTACCAGAAAGGCACTAGATATTATAAGGTGCTATTACATAATAGCACCTTATAATATCTAGTGCCTGGAAGTCCTGGATAATGTTATCCAGGACTTCCATATTCAGATTGTGACATCAACATCAAGACCTGTAAATTCTTTCCAAGCCTTTATTATTTAATTTTTCATTATATGGAATTCAGTTTTCTTAACAATCATTTTAGGTGTTTTGTATAAGCAGTACTGTGTGAGGTGAAGGAGACAGGAGCATGCCTGTATTCTGAAAACACTTAATTTAGATTGGCTGCTTTTAAATTTTGACATTATTTCTTTAAAATATAATTTAAAAGGATGCACTGATTATCAAAATAATTGGTGATTAATTAGTTTACAATTAATCAATTAATCGACTAATCTTGCAGCTTTCGTACCTAGTGAATGCAGTTTGCATCAACAATGTAACTATTTTCAGAGTAAAATCTGAATGCACAGATTTTTAGATTCAGTGTGACCACACTGAGGATATTATTATCTCCATAGTCCATTGCAAATAAACATCAATGAATCCACCTAGAAATCATAAAAGAACTTGCCAGAGAACATTACCATTTCATATATAATATCAGAGCACATCTGTGGATGAGGGGGGGTACCATACTTTAAAAACCCCTGACCTACAGAATTAAGAAAATTCCAGGCTATAATAAATAGCCCTTTGGTCTTTTAATGTCAGTGGGGTCCTCAGCTATGTCACTTGTAGTGTGAATATTTTACAAAGAAAGAGCTCTTCCACATGTAGCTACAAGGAATCACCCGTAGATGGCAACGCAAGCAAGAGAAACATACTGTATGTCTTGATTTCGAAGTCACACATCACACTTAATCCCACAAACCCTCTCACTTCTCCTGCAGCACGGAGAACTGTATGACTGATGTTTCACTGACAGTTTTATGAGAAGTTTCTTTTTGCTTTTGGTCTATACTGACCATTTTTGTCTGTCTCTAAACACTGAACTAAGATCATTTTAATAACTACATTTAGAAATGTTTCATGAGTCTGGGGTTTAATGGCATCAAAGGTCCAGTGTGTAGGATTTAGTGCTATCAAGCAGTGTAGAAACATGGCTGAAGGTGACCCACTCCCTGTAGATAAAATTGGCTCATTCGAAGGTAAAACATAATGATTCCTGTATTCAGGTGATTATACATAACACAGTTATGCATATTATATTCCATTTCTGCCAAAAGATCCTCCTAAATGTTGTACACTGGACCTTTCACATTGTATGACCTCCTAAAGGCTGTTTCAAAGACTTTGCTACTCTGGAACTCCAGACTAATACCCTATAGGGTGTTAAAGAGATCTGGCAACACATTCTCACTCCCAGTACGTCTTTTCCTTCCCGATACTGATACTGATACTGATACTGATATCTGAACTTTACCAATACATTTAGGTTTAGGCACAAAAAATAATTTGTTAGGTTTGGGAAAAGAAGTTAGGAAAAGAAGTTACGTTATGTTCTACGTTACTTGAAATAAATAGTTTACTTTTAGTTTCACACAGGAAAAGAACGGCAGTTTCACCTCTCTATGTGGATTTTCTTGCTCTTTTTACTACATCACATAGCTTAGACAGTGGGCGTGTCGAGAAAAAATGCTAGAGGGATTCCTACAGTGTCATATTTTGAAGTGGAGGGCCACGGACCAAGCTACAGTATTTGACAATTTGGGATTGAGACTGGGTTGGATCTGCTGTGTAGAGTGTAATAATTGTGACTTACGCATTGGAAGTTCCCTTCTGACCACAAAACTGGCCATAGCTGTCTGTTGGATGCAGCACCTTCTTGGGGTCCCCATGTAACCAGGCTAAATGGGCAGACAAGACAGATCATTTAACAAAGCAACAGAAGGCATTATAGAATCCTATAAGCAATTATACAATGTGGAGACTAGGTTCAGATCCAGTTGTTACAATATACATCTGATGTCTGAATATTTATTCATATAAATTGAAATTTATTTAAAGTTAAAATAAATGTCAGCAAAAAAATGTTTTTGTAAAACAATAAATAAATAAAATATGTGTATATATATATATATATATATATATTGACATAATTAAACTTAACCCTATAGGGGTGGGGTTATGAGTTGATACATCACAAATACAGTATATGAATAATATCACAAATGTCCATTAATCAAAATTAACCAGTACAAAATGGACAAAGACACCAAATTGTAAATAAAATACAAAAACCTAAACCTTTTTACCTAGTAGGAAAAAAACTGTTGATTCTCAGCCTTCAACTATCCTAATCAGTTAAACTCTGATGTTTAACTGTCTTTGCACAACACAACAGAGAGGGACTGAGACATCCGGAGACCAGAGCATCTCTCTGTGTGTTTTAAAACACTGAAATGGCATAAAAAGGCATAAAATGAGAAGATTTGTGTTTTGTGTACTTGTTTCTATGAATTAATTAATATTACCATTACCATTATGTATGCTAGTATTTTACCTCATTAAATAACATAAGCTGTAGGGCTGTGTATTGGCAAGAATCTGGCGATATGATACGTATCACGATTTAGGGGTTACAATTCAATGCAACATATTGTGATTCTCTAAAGAAATTTTGAGATTTTTTAAAAATCTAAATTTTAGAAAACTAACTAGCTAACTAACTAGAAAACTATTAAAAACACACCACTATATTCATAAAATCGAAGTAAAAAAAAAAGGTATGCACGACTATATCGGCAGCCGTAGATTGAACATTTTAACCTAACCTAATCTGCATTTGTGTCTATCAAAGTCAGATTACATTTACAACTATCTAGCAGAGAATTGGTACAATATCTTAAAAGAAAACATGGCAATACTCAAGTGTATTGATGTTTTCTTACAAACCTAATACACTGTGTGTCGCCCATAAGCATTACATCAAATCACTCAAAAGTCTAGTTTTGAAATGAAATGTAAAATGTAAGATAAAGTGTGTGTTGCATGATTTTAAAGAGGTAAGCTACTGTTCTCCTCCATGCAGACACTGGTCATTGCTCATGTGCGTCAGTTTGAAATCCCTTTGTTTCGTATTTTCAGGAAAGGAAGACATATTCTAAGAATGGACCAATAAATATTGGTTGATACCCATGTTTGTTGTGTTTTTCTTAAGGTGTGGCGGGTTGGAGACTATCCCCGCTGCACAAAGAAACTAGGATGGAGATGTTTTGTAGAATGAAAGTGCTCTCTTAATGACTTGCCCATCTCTGCATTTTACAGACAATTCATAAATATTCTAATCACTAATGGTTGTTGGTTGGTGTAATTAATATATATATATTTCTTTATACTTTATTGATCCCCTGGGTGGAAATTGTTCTTTTTCACTCTCTTTTTATATACACGCACACACAGGCTGAAATACACACTTCACACACTTGTGGACATGCAAAGGGGAGAGATGGTGGAGTGATGGGGCTGCACGTTACCGGCGCCTCATGAGCAGGTTTTGGGGTTAGGTGCCTTGCTCAAGGGCACCTCGGCAGTGCACAGGAGATGAAACTGGCACCTCTCCAGCTACCAGTCCACACTCCATATTTTGTGGTCTGTGGGACTTGAACCGGCAACCCTCCGGTTCCCAAGCCATTGGGACACACTGAGCTACTGCCGCCTCAATAATGACAATAGAAAGAGTATCGCGAGATTAGTTCATACTCTTTGTGTGAGTGTGTGTGGAATTGATGAAAGGAAGGAGGGATGAAAAAAGAGAATGAGGGTGATGTCATCGGGAATGATGTCATCCATGTTTGGTAGTAGCAGAAATGGAGTGGAGTGATCTTAGAAACAGCCTTTGTGTATGTATGTGTGTACCTGTGAGTGTGTATGGCTGTATATTTATGTCTGTGTCACCCATACAATCACATACTGGTGTATAGTGTGTCTATAAATGAAGGCCAGAGTGATTAGTGTGCATAACGTGGGATTAGTGCATTCATGTCATCTTAATGGGATGATGTCACCAGTAACACACACACACACACACACACACACACACACACACACACACACACACACACACACACCAGTGGACACCTCCTCTGATCTAACTGAGCTCACTCTGTTAACCACGTCTGGTCCATACTAACACACTGTTCAATGAGCTCATACTAGGATATGAGGCTAACATACACGTGCACAGACACACACACAGATAAGAGCAGTTATAATCTGTATTTTCCACTACATGGCTCTACACTACCTGCTTTTGTTACCTCTACTTCATTTTCCACTGTACATAATACTTTGAATAAGGGCTGGGCGATATGGACCAAAAGTCATATCCTGATATATTTAGGCTGAATAACGATATACGATATATATATCCTGATATTTTTTCCGTAAAGTGAGAGCAAATGTCAGTCAAAGTCAAAGCCAAATATGACATGTCACAATTAGTTTTATTGAAACCGGCTATTTCAGTGAACAGTTGCAAAATCAAATGAATAAATAATAAACAGGTTTCTTCACCTGGTTCATGATTAAATGCTCAGCTGTTCAAATAACAATAAAATGTAAACATAAATACTGTATAACAACAGGAGTACCTTTTTTGAAATCAAAGCTCCATAAGGTTTACATTTAAATAAAAAAATATCTTAAATAAAAATAGCCTATAAAATAAAATAGGGCAATCTTTTTTTGATAAAAAAAAATGTATATGAGAAAAGTACAATATCAACATTTTTTTTTCATTTTTTTTTTTACTACAAATGGCTTATTAAAATCAAATTACAGATTTTCTTCTCCTTTCTAACAAATCCACAGATGCAAATAACGAAAATTACAAAAGAATAAAATATGACAAACCCAAGGAAGGGCAGCATTTATATATAAAGAAAGAACAAAATAAAGTGCTCAGTTTAAGAATTTTTTTTTAAAACATCAGCTTGAGATTACCTTTTCCTTTTTATTAACTCAATTTCTTATCTGAACAGTCTCAACCAGTTGCACAAGAAACAGACTATCAACTCAATAAACATTTTCCCACCACTTGTCACTTTTCTTTTCATAAGGCACACTGCAGGAAAATGAAGTTTGCAGTGAGCTTTGTTTCGGGGCTGGAGCTTTTTCGGGTTGTGGATGGCTTGCGTCTGGGGCTCCTGCAGCGCGCAGTTTCACACACTCTTCATATTGCAGTTATTGCCACTGTTTTAGGTGGTAAAAAAGATTTGTAGTGCTTCCACCCCTGGCTGTAATTTGTTTATGGCACTCCCTACATATAACGTGATTTTGTTGCTCCTCTGATATTTTGAATCTGAACCATCTCCAAATTACTGAGCCACTGCTTTTTCTTTTACTAACTAATTCCTCCCCCGCACGCTCCACAGACGTTGTTGCTTCCTCCATGTTTGTTGAAGAGTGGCTGCCCCTTCCCCCTCTGTGCATGAAAGAGGAGGGGCGGTGGCAGGGGTGCGGGGAGCAGTGCAGAGAGCTCCGGGTCAGCAGCTTGCTTGGAGCAAGGATCACAGCGCAAATTTGAACTATATTGATATATGCGATATGGTCTAATTCCATATCACATTTAAAAATATATCGATATATTTTTTATATTGATATATCGCCCAGCCCTACTTTGAATAGTACCCCCTGAGTGTAGGCGGAGCTGCTCATCAGAGCAACACAGTTGAGGAAACAACCAAGAAATAACACACAGGAGCTTTACTTTGGTCTTAAGAAGCTGCAGCCTTTATTTACTGACTAACTGTAACCTACACTGTACATTTACTGATAAACTGACAACTTTACTGCTCTATTTTTCCTCTGCCCGGCTCACATTCACCGCTCTCTCTCTTTGTCTTTTGCTCATCCACACATTCACTACACACACCAAAAGGTGCTGCTACTCTTATAACAGAGGATATGAAGAGATTGTTTTCGTGATATGTCTGCACTTCATAGACTGACTTGATGTTGGTTTTGCATGCTGCCATTTATGAGAGATTTATTTACATAGTGTTTGCTATTGATAGTAGTTTGGGTAAAATCAGGTAATTTTTCTTACTCTGTAGCTGCAACCCTGACAGCAACCTCAAAGGGTCAAAACCAAGCGGCAAAATATATGGCTGGTAAAGGCCAGGACAGACCAACCCGACAGCTGACCGTTGGCAGAAAAGCAGTCAGACTGATCAGTCGGCTCCCGTCTCCCCGAGTCGGTCAAAAAAGTGCCTCCGAACACACCAAACCAACGCCGACTGGAGCGTACGTTCTGCGCATGCGCAAGGCGTAATACTGTACGTCCCCATAACAGCAGGCGGTGGTAATCTGTGTTGTCGCCCAAAAAAAATTAAAACCGGAAATGACGGATCACTCTAGACCTAGTAAACACAGAGCACGCTGTCGTCAGTCATTGTTTTCATCAGAGAGTGTTGATAGTAGTCAAGAAGGATCATTATTGATGAACGGAAAATATGATGGCTAATAATAACAAGATACTGGCGCTGGCGTAGTATGTTTACCATCGTCACCTTCGGTTTTCTTGTGCACTCACTGATTTGCTAGTCAATGGCGAGCACTCCACCAATCAGATTGGTCATTGAGGCCGATGGCCACTGGCAGATTCTACATGTCGAATCGGCCAAAATGAACGCCAACGCCGACTGACGACGGCACAGGACACACCCATATTAAAATGCCCAACTTTACAGTTTTGATCTCAATAACTAATTTCTCTGTCTCCAGAAGTCTCTAGATTAGATTAGATTTAACTTTTCCCCATGGTCTAATGTTAAAAAAGCAAACAAAAATTGCAATACATTTAAATATTAAATCGCTATACTTGTAGAATAAGAATCACAATAGATATCAAAATGGCTCCCCAAGCAGTGTTTCCTCTATGTTGATTTTGGAGCAGTGGCCCGCCGCTGTTAAATTTCTGCCACCACGGTATCAGAAATGGGGCAGAAGCACAATGTAGTCACGGTTTGTGAGTTGTGTGTCAGTTCTCAGCTCAACGTCCTGATATCAAACATCTGGAAACATTAAAATGGTAAATATATCTGTTTGTGTTGCGGCGAAGTGTCACTTCTGTTTCATACATAAAACGTTTGCCGGAGTGACGGGACTGGACTGGACTGGACGGGGGGGGGGTTGGAAATCCAAGAGGAAACACTGCCAAGTATTGTGATTGTACTGAATTGGGAGATACGCATATTGTCCTAGCCTTATTAGACAGCTAATCTCCATGATACCTGAGCAATTTCCATCTGCTGAAGAAGACTATGACATGCAGTCAAAAGCTGCTGAAAAAGATAATTAGTAGCCAGGAAACAACTGAAGGGTCAGTATCTACAGTAAAGTGGTTGCATATAGCACAGATTCAACACTAAATAAATTGAATTCTTGGAAAATTAATACATAAGAAAACATCGACGAGACAGATTGGAATGATGCTTGTTTAAAAGTACAAAAACAGTACACAATAAATACAAAATAAATGGTTAATAAGAATGTACATAACTCACTCAAGCTTCATCATGTCTGCTAATATCCCAGATGTTTGTTCAAAATGTTTGAATGAGAAGTAGGTATGACCAGAGGTACTCTATTTCACTGTCTATGGAAATGTCCAAAGATACAAAACTCATTCTAAAGTGAGCTCTTGCTCATAAGTATAGTAGTATACATTTGAAAATGAGTGCAGCGGTTTCACAGACTCCCAACCAAAGCAGATGCTGGGGTAGGTGGGCCGCCCTCCTCAAATTAGCGGGCATTAACTCTTTTTTTATATAAATGTCAAGATGTAAAGTGGTCCCAAACAGTCGACTCTATCTCAGCATTGGACTTACAAGGTTCAGGGTAATCTAAAACAGGGCATGTAGAGAGAGAATGCACTGCAAGAAGAGTCTGATCAAAAAGGCTTTTTACCACACTCAGGGCACTCTTTGTGCGTGTGTTTGTGTGTAGACTCACCCACTATTCCCAGGGCAACATATGAGAGGATGACAAGGATGAATATCAAACAACATAAGACGTCAGTGCAGCTTCTAAAGAGACAGAAAAGAAACAAGTTGTAGTCTGCAGCAGCAATATTCATAAAACATTGTTTTGTTAACTTTTGCATCCATGACTACTATTCTACCTAATTGTTACTGTATACAGCAGGTACACATTTGTATGTTTAGATAGTTGAAAATCATAACAAAGCAAACATTGTAGTGTTAAAAGAAGTGATAATGAATGATAATGCATATGCTGCTACTGTAAAGAATTAACACATTAAAAGAATTTTCTTCAATTACTTCTGCCACTGGCCCTGGTTAGGGAAAGATAAATAAATCATGAAAAAAGAAATAAGAGGACAAGCGTCAGGGCAGAATAAGAGAGCTTAGAGTTTAATGAGGAATACGGAGAAAGGACTTTATTACTGTTTGAGAAAAGAATGGAAGAGAATAACAGCAGATTTGCTCACATCCATACAGCTGAAAAGATGCAATTATAGATTGGAATTATGTGTGATGTGAATGTGTGACCAGCTACCACACACTATTTGTGTTGTGTATGTCAAAGCTAATTGTCATGAGGACTGAAGATTTCTAGTTGATGTGATAAATTCACCAGAAATAACCATAATTTAAGACATTCAAGAGCTGTTCGTTCAGGGATAGTATTTTAAAATTTCTGAGAACTTTGGTATTTTTCAACCTGGACCTTAATTTCTCATGCATTTGTGTTAAAGTGACTAATGGGGACAACAAGTTTTGAATTTGGTATTAAGTGAGAGTGCTGCAGCCACAAAACTCACTATGAAGCGAAGTATTGCGTGCAATTCCTCGAAGATGGAGAATAGCCCCACATACAACCTAAAGAAAAGTGGGCCTCAGCATCAAGACTTGGTCCTCAGAGATGTAATGAAGCTCAGTGTAGGTTCCTCTGTTATACATATGCTATATATCATATCATATCTTGTGTATATATATATATGTGTACATATTATATATATATTGTGTATATATATTATAGTATGTATTTATGGACACCTTGTACAGGCTGAATATATGACACATGTTTACATTATATCAATATATATGTATAATATCTATGTGTTTACATGTATATCTGTTCAGTCATATATATACATATTATTATTATATTATTATAAATATTATTAATATTATCATTATATACTTTTATTATTATATACTGTTATTAACAATAACACTACCATCATGTCATCTGTACTATTACCACCATCTTGCAACTGAAAACTAAAAACTATGCACCTTACCTACCTTTTTATCTTTAATCTTTTTTATATTTTCTATCCAAGTATTTTATTCTATTGTTGTATTTTATTATATTGTATTTTATTGTATTTTAATGTAACTGGCTGCTATAACGACCCAATTTCCCTTCAGGGATTAATAAAGTCTCTATCTATCTATCTATCTATCTATCTATCTATCTATCTATCTATCTATCTATCTATCTATCTATCTATCTATCTATCTATCACATGACGATTTGGAGGAGAAATATCTTGCCTATCTTTTCTCACACAACAAAGAATATCCATGACTTGGATTACCTGTTGCCACAACTGGGGGAAAACCAACTAGTACCTTCCAGTATATGTCCAATCACTGCATAATAAGCTGGACGAATTTCAAAGTGACACTAAGAAGTGCAACAAAATGGTTATCACAAGACCTACCTCAACCCTGTGATACCAGACTCGGCAGTTGTCCCAAAAGGGGCCTCATGAGCATCAAGTGGAGCTCAGAGGTGGAGATCATCTCTACAGGCTGTCCTCCCAACCCTAGAGCGCCTTATGATTAGAGGCCGTTCTTATTTGCTTCTGAGGAAGTTTACATTGGCCGTTCTCACAGCAGTTTACATTCCACGACCTGCCACCAACCGAGACCTGGATGAGTCTGGATGGAGTTATCGACAGGGCCGAGACAGCCTGAGTATGCTTTAGTGGCAAGTGATTTTAACAACGCGTTCCGAGGAAAGTTTTGCCAAGATATCACCAACACATTAGCTGTCCTACATACAGTGATAACATGCTCGACCATGGATATGAGAACATAAGGCCCACCCTCAATCCTCCTTTGGCTCAAATTTCAGTTCTAATTCTGCCAACTCAAGAAAGACACAACCATCATGAGGACTATTCAGCAGTGGTTCAACCAATTAGACCTGGCCCTACATAACTGCTTGTGTTTTAGGATATTAACACTGACGTATTCACGGATACTGTCACTGGCTACATCAACAAATACATGACATTGTACAGGCAGAGGGGTTTAGTCTCAGTCTTGAGGAGCACCAGTGTTGAGAGTCAGGGTGGAGGATGTTGTGTTGCTACGCTGTTAAGTCCCAGATCTCTGAGCTTAAAGATGAACTTTGAGGGCATGATGATTAACTATAGTCAATAAAGAGCATTTTCACATGTGTTCCTCTAGCCTATACTCTGTTTTCCATAAAGCCTATTTTTAACTTGGTTCTGGAACATTTCATTTGTAGATTTGTATATGCTATTTGATTTTCTGACATTATTATGCTATGGCCAGTTATGTTGAGCAGCTCTTCCAAACCTTAAGCCCAGGTGTACAGAAAGTTTCATTTGAATATTAATTTATCCTTAAAAAATACTTTTTTATACATCAACCACAACAGAATGATGCATCTACACACACAGGACCAGATTTCTATGACTTACCCAGTCATAGTCAGGGATGTGCAGCAGTTAAGTTGTCCCCGCTTTGTGATCTCATTTTAAATGTCCCGTATAAACCCGTATAAATCCTGATTTATTAATTACATCACGATCATATCTTATGAGTGCTATCAAATTCATATCAGTTCCATTGTCTTACATGTAAATGAGCTGGTTTAACCAGCTGAGACTGAGCAAAGGACAGACTGTTTGTACCACTGAAGACGACATATTGACTGGGATGCACAATTTAGTTTATATTTAGTTGTTTTCCCATTCCTTAGATTAAGTTGGGATTCTCATGAAAATATTCTGGAAATACTAACGAAAACAAAATGTTTTAAAAAATGGCCAGCATAGTATGGAGGTAATATAATTCGACATATACTAAAGTATCTCTACTATGCAAAGAAGTATGGAATTACCTTCTACGGACTGGACCTCTGAAGGTAGGATCAAATTTGTGTGGTTCTCCTGTAAAAAACAAAATAAGTAAAAAGTTTTAATGAATTTAGACCAAACTGAACTGAATCCTAGAGATGGTAAATGTGTAGAGCGCCTTTCTATTCTTCCGACCACTCAAAGCGCTTTTACACTACGTGCCACATTCACCCTTTCACACACATTCACACAGTGATGGCAAAGTCCATCGGACAGAAACTAACATTCATACACATTCACACACCAATGTACGGCATCGGGAGCAATTTGGGGTTCAGTATCTTGCTCAAGGATACTTCGACATGAGGCACCAGGAGCCGGGGATCGAACCCACAACCGTTTGATTAAGGAACGACCCACTCCGCCTCTAAGCCACAGCTGCCCTGAGGGATATGCCCATACGCCGAGATGGGAGAGGAAAAAAGTTATAGTGGTTAAGATGTGTATGGTTGGTCATCTGGCTGGTCATAGTCAAGGAACAGATTTTCCAAAGTATTGCCTGCTTGGTTATTTCATAACTCAAGCCTGTGACACTCATGTGTTGTTTGTCAGGAAGGAGACCACCTGCAGTAGAACCTGTTTCTGTTTCATTTAAAATGAATGGGAAAGAGGTAGGCTTGGACAGTATCTATTTCACTGGGGTATAGATGTATAATTGGATCTGTACACGCTACAGCTTATCCAACTGCGTACGCTCCATTCAGTGTTTGCAGTACCATGCCGAGGATGTTCTACCAGTGTGTGGTAGCCTGTACTATTTACTCTGCTGTTGTATGCTGGACATACAGAAAAACCTTACAATGCATCTTTCTTTCAAACGTTACAACTCATCTACCTCAGACAGATAGATGGAAGGGCAGAGGCATGGGCTGCTGAGGTGGCTCTAGCCTCCATTTGCTCTTTTACAGGGTGCTTTGATTGATCGCCCACAGATCGTTATCAGTCGATATTCGCTCTAAATAGTTTGATTGACAGGTTTTATAAACACAGATCAGAAGATCCAATCAGATGCATTTATTTTATTCCACAGGAAAGTTAAATGTAGACTTTCCCACACATTGATTTACTTGGGTGGAAATTCCTTTTAGCATTTTGCAGAGAAACAGAGAGAGAGAGAGAGAGAGAGAGAGAGAGAGAGAGAGAGAGAGAGAGGGGTTATCTAGGTAAAGCAGGTTTTCGATAGGCGATGTCATTAACAAGCCTCCTCCAAAAAAGGCTCACCAGCGGCTTACCATCTTGCTGATAATCTTATTCTTATGTTTTGTTTATTATTTGCACTCTTTCCTACTTTTTACTGCAACAGTTGCACCACAGTTGCCCTCATGAAAGAATCTTTTCTTGTGTGGTGTATTATTTAGTGTTTGTATATTTGCTTGTGTTTTTTTTTTTTTGGCTTTTGCTTTTATAAAAATTATATAAAAATATTAATAACTTTTTGTCATATTTGCGTAAATCTTCACTGTGTCCTGACAGTAGTACATGAGACACATAACCTGTTAAAAAATTCAGGTTCCTCTGGCTCATTCTAGTGATCCCAATGGCATTTGCAAGAATCCACCAGACCTGGACGAAAACAACCAATCAGAGCCAAGAAAGATATAAAGGCGCTTTGGGTTGGAGGCTTGAAGACTTGAAGACTTGAAGTTGTGTCTCATTCCCTGGGTCCCAAAGAATCTGTATTTGACACCCCCTTTCAACAATCAACTGTCTTTCATGGCTCTGATTAGTGTCATATAGCAGGGTAGTTAAATGGTAAATGGACTGCACTTATATAGTGCCTTTCTAGTCTTTCGACCACTCAATGCACTGCACACTACATGCCACACTCATGGTAGTGGCTGCCATGCAAGGTGCCAACTGCTCACCAGAGCAGTCATTCATACACAACAACACAATTTGGGGTTCAGTGTCTTGCTCAAGGACACTTAGACATGCAGTGAGAGGAGCAGGGGATCGAACCACCAACCTTCTGATTAGTGGACGACCTGCTCTTCCTCTGAGCCACAGCTGCCCATAGTTGCAGATCGCAATTCACTTACTTCAACCTCCCAAGCATGAGGGAGAAACTACCCTATCTACAGCCAGTGTTTGGTTTGTCCATTTGCTACGGTAGAAACATGGTGTCTGCAGATAAAAACAGCTTATTCTAAGGTAACAAAAACACAACAATTCTTATTTTCAATTGAATTGAATTGAATTTTATTTGTACGGTGGCAGAAGTTATCTCAGGACACTTTTCAAATAGTGCAGGTCTAGACCGAACTCCTTATAACATTATTTACAGAGACCCAACAGTACCACCATGAGCAAGCACTTGGCGACGGCGGCAAAGAAAAACGTCCTTTTAAGAGGCAGAAACCTAGGACAGACCCCGGAGAGAGAGAGAGAGAGAGAGAGAGAGAGAGAGAGAGAGAGAGAGAGAGGTTACGACAGAAGGACAGAGACAAAGGTGCACAGCAACAACAGTACCAAAAACTACACTAATAGTAGTGACTGATGATGACGATGAAGACAACAACGATGGGGAACAATGAGCAGTGACTATGGTGATAATAGAAACTGTAGTAATTATACACTAATGAACATATGTATATATTATACCTTTTTTCTATGTGCTGTCAGTGTTTTGTCTGTTTTCTTCATTTCTTCATTTAAAATTGATGAGATTTGGATTGGAACATTTTAACTAAAAACTAAACTTAATTGCAAACTAAGTAAAATCCCTGGCTCCTCCTGCTGTATGTCGAATTGTACTTGAGCAAGATACTGAACCCCAAATTGCTCCCGACGTTTAACTTGGAATTATTCAGCATTTTGTTTGAAGGAGTTATAACTGTTTTTGTTTGTCGTTTTCACCCTGAAGTTTGATGCTGGTTTTTGTTGCACTTTTTGGTTCACGATTGTAAATAAATCACTTCACTTGTTTGGTAAACCCGTGTTCGTTTTTGGTTTGGGGACCAGGAATGGAAAGTCCTTAATTGTTTTTTTCGTACTTTTATGTAAAAGTTTTATGTTGTGCTCCTACCCCCTAGACAGGGCGTAACAAGGACGTGCAAATACTTTGCATAATGTGATGTGTAGTCTGTAACATTCTTTGCTTCTTTGAGAGTTTATTTGGAGGGCTGAGGTTTTTAAGTGAACATGGAAATCAGACAAATAATGTATCTAATATATCTCTTCACTCTTTCTGAATATCTTTCCTCCCTCCTTCACAGAGACGCTGGGTGTTCTTTAGAAGATATGGAAATGAGGCTTGTCAAGATTGCAGTTAACATTACCCCCCCCACACACACACACACACACACTAATAACATGCACACATACAGACAGCACAAACAAATACACACATAATGCAAGACAAGCGCACACATTTCGACAACATTTCATCCTTTTTCATTCTACTGCTTCAGCCATCAAAGTCATGGTTTGTTATGTAACATCCAATCAGAGCCCATGCTGTCTTTCTCATCAAAACGGACTTCCTGTCTGGCAGAGCAGCGATCTGCTAACTGAAGCTGTGCTTTGTTGCTTTTGCATCTAAATTAATTTGCTTTTTCACCCCTAATTGGTGTGAATGCATGTGTTGATGATGTGGTGGTTTATGGTTTACACAATAAAATCATTCTCTAACCAGAAAGCCTGGATGATTTCTGAGGCTTCATCCGAACCTGAAAAAGCTGCCTTTCAGTCAGGTGTCAAGAAACCATACAGCACTACCAGAGCAAGAATGAAGCTGGAATCAAGGAAGAAAAGCTAAGCCTAATAACATTCCTGGAAGTCAGGTCAAATAAAAAGTCAAACTTTTTTTAAAGTTTTTAAGTAAACTAATACTAATAAATACAATTATATATAAAAATATCTTTATGGTCTGCAAACAAAAAAATCAGGATTTCAAAAAAATTTTAAAAGTGAAACACAAGCTCCCAAATAATTTAAAATCTGTTCAATCTGACCAATACAGATTTTTTTTGTTTGAAAAAAAAAAAAGTCTTGTAAAGAAAATTCGAGAACATTTCTCGACAAAACATTATAGGTTGGCAAAACATTTTTTTTGTTTACTTTTTTAACCTTTTTAACACAGTGCTGTTTTGGTCTGAATGTCTGGTAATAGATACAGATATACAGAGAGAAATAAGTGAGTACTGTTTGAGTGAAAGAAGAAGTTTAATGCACTCCTGTTGGACACACACACACACACACACTTACTTAGTAGAGTGAGTACTTGACTACAAAGGAAGCAAGATGGAAGCTAAAATGAAGCGACCCCAGGACCCCCTGACAGGCAACTTCTAGTTGTCAGACAGTCCTTCTAAATCAAAGATGACTCTTAAGTGTGTGTGTGTGTGTGTGTGTGTGTGTGTGTGTGTGTGTGTGTGGTGTGTGTGTTTGGATGACTTTTCTAAGACAAGAAGCAATTGATGAAAAGGCAGAAAGAACAAGGCAGAAAGAGAGGTGGGGAACAGAGGAAAAGATTAGATGGAAATATATTTAGATTGTTCAGCAGTAAAATTGACAGGAAATATGAAGCAGTGGTGGAGTAAAGGGGTCAGAGAGGAGGACATGAACAGGAGATGAAAGGGCGTTTATGATTGACCTTACAGTATAGTTTGTATGTATGAACGTATGTACTGTAAATATGTTGCCTTGACAAAACACCAACAATAACCTACACACTTGATTTTTCTAATTGAGACTTCAGAAGCGTTATAAAAGGTTCTCAATTAATCAGTTAGGTGTTTGGTCCATGAAATGTCAGAAAACTGTGAAAAATGTTGATCAAAGCCCAAGCTGATGTCCTCAAATGTCCTGTTTTTGCTGCAACCCAAAGATATTCAGTTCAGAAGCTGAAATCAGAGAACTTGAATAAAAAATAACTCAAAACAATGAATTATCAAAATAGTTGGCGAATGATTTAATAGGTAACAGCTAATCAATTATCCAACTAATCTTTGTAGCTCTAGACAGAACTAATGATTACAGAAACCAAACACTGTCAGTGTATGTGAATATTAGGGCTTTATGTTGGTGTATTG